AAAGCTAGAAGGGAGTGGGCCAATCTGATCTCCCTGGGGAGGGAGTTCCACAGCCAAGGGGCCACCACTGAGAAGGCCCTGCCCTCATCCCCACCAATAACACCTGTGAAGGTTGTGGGACCAAGAGCAGTGCCTCCTTGGTAGATCTTAAGTGTTCTAGCTGGCTCATAGGGGGAGATGAGTTCGGATTGGTAAGCTGCATCAGAACCATTTAGGGATTTATAGGCTAAAGCCAACAATTTGAATTGTGCTCAGTAGAAGACTGGCAGCCAATGGAACTGACGCAATTGGGGGGGGGGGGTATGCTCCCTGTATGTCATTCCAGTAAGCAACCTGGCTGCTGCCCGTTGGACTACTTGAAGCTTCTGAACAGTATTCAAAGGTAACCCCACATAGAGTGCACTGCAGTAATCTAAACAAGATATGAAGCAAGCATGGACCGCTGTGGCCAAGTCTGGCTCCTCAAGGTATAGGTACAACTGGCGCACAAGTTTTAATTGTGGGAATCCTTCCCTGGCCACCACCGAAACCTGAGGTTCCAGGCTCAGCAATGAGTCCAGGAGAACTCCCAGGCTGCGAACCTGTGTCTTCAGGGGGAAGGCAACCCTGACCAACACAGGCTGTAACCCTATACCCTGTTCGGCCTTATGATTGACCAGGAGTACTTCTGTCTTATCTGGATTCAAATTCAATTTGTTCGCCCTTATCCACAGTTGCCAAGCACTGGTTCGGGACCTGAACAGCCTCCTTAGCATCAAGTGGAAAGGAGTAGTACAGCTGAACGTCATATGAGTACAGATGGCATTCAATTCCAAAACGGCAGATGATGTCTCCCAGCAATTGAATGTAGATGTTAAACAACATGGAGGACATTATTGAACCCTGTGGGACCACAGGACAATGGCTGTGGGACCGAGCAGGTATCCCCCAACAACACCTTATGGAACGATCCTCCAGGAAGGACTGCAGTCACTGAAAAATGCCCCCAAAGCCCATTCCCGCAAGGCGTCCCAGAAGGATACTGTGGTCTATGATACTGAAGGCCACTGAGAGGTCCAGGAGAACCAACAGGGATACACTCCCCCTATCAAGGAGACCAAGGCTGTTTCAGTTCCATGAACACCTAGAGTTGCGAGGCCACCACACATAATAATAATAATAATAATAATAAATCTTTAGTTGTACCCCGCCACCATCTCCCCAAAGGGACTCGGGGGGAGGGGGCTCACAGAAGAACTCCAAGTGCCACATGCAGACAACAATACATAAGCACAAACACAATGACACAAGTTCAATCAATAGCGCATAAAAATCTCATTGATAAAATCACAAAAATTCCATTACTTTGCCCATAAGGGGGAGATTGGAAACTGGCTGAAATTTGTTCAATTGAGTAGGATCCAGTGATAGTCCAAAAAGTAACTGTTTCAATCCACTCTTCCCTGTTTCTGTCATAAAACTCAAGGTTGTACAGAGGAGGCGACTTGCCATGAAACCACTGACCATCTCCTAAACCTGCTTAATTTTAGAATGTATTCAGATATGCATGACTGACTTGAGAGATTAAATTATTTGGGGCATGCAATGAAACTGGATACCACTTTAAGTGACATGGCTCAATGTTATGGAATCCTGGGAGTTGTAGTCCAGGTCCTTAGCCTTCTCCGCCGAAGAGGGCTGATGTCTCATCATACTATAACTCCCAGGATTCCCTAGCATTGAACCATGGCACTTAAAGTGGTATCAAGTTACATTAATTCTACAGTGTATATGCACCCCGAGTCAACATACCAAAGCAAGGCACATTACAGGGAATCTAATGAAGAAAATTAGATGAACATTTTTTCTGCTTGTCAATAAAATGTGGTTAATCAAACATTTGTAAAATTTGATTACATTCAAATCAGTGCACAAAACCTGCCACTGTCAAGTCACACAGCAACGTTCTGGTCTTGTCCATAGCATATCATTAACAATTTAACGGTTGCTTCACTTTAATACTCATAATGTTTGCTATGCCTTCAATTGTCTTGGCTCTTTAACAGTGAATGTGCTCTGGGTTTTAGCCCCAATTCCAAGGAGCTGCCAAACTCTATCCCCCTTCAAAGCCTCACCACTTTGAATAGGTCCCTTCAAGTTCAGACTAAAACCTAGACCAGGTTTGCCACCCCTTCAAAGTGGCAGTCACCACTGAACAGAAAATGCTTATTTGCATACATGGCAGGAAAAAATGCAATGTCTATGGTTTCTAAAAATAATGTGAATGATTGGAAATGCAGACTACGGTACAGGGAAATGTGTGGCCGGTCATGGTAATGCCACTTTGATATGTATGATGTGTGTAGCATTAATGAGGTCACTGCAGCACCAATATGGACTGGAAAAATGCAGTGCCAAACAGGTTTTTTAAATCATGTAGACCAGCCATGAGAAAATGAAGTTGGTAACAACTTTTCTGCATATGATGCACCTGAGTAGGAAATAAACACTTTGGAATTCATGCACTGTGGAAACTAACTGCCATGATCCAATGCCATGAAATAATGGGAGATGTAGTAAATGGAATGGAATCCTGGGGTTTGTAGTTTGGTGAGGCTCCATAACGTTTTGGCAGAGAAGGCTAAAGACCTTTTAAAATGATAGTTCCCATAATTCCATAGCTTTGAGCCAGGGCAGTTAAAGTGGTATCAAATTGAATTCATACAGTATAAATGTAGACTTAGGCCCCTTCCACACAGCTGAATAAAATCCCACATTATCTGCTTTGAACTGGAATATATGGCAGTGTTGACTCATATAACCCAGTTCAAAGCAGATATCATGGGGGTTTCTGTCTGAATATTCTGGGTTATATCGCTGTGTGGAAGGGCCCATACAGACATTCGAATATCTGCATTTTCCGGTTAAAATCAAGATATTCCCATAACTGAAAATCTTGCAATTTTAGCACTTTGTAGTGTTTTCTGGGGATGTCATTTGTCCACCTGCCATTTTGAACTGGGAGCTCCTGGGATAACTGTACTGTGCAGATGGATCCTGGAATATATGGTTGTGTAGAAGGGCCCTGAGTCAAAGCGCAGTATTTTCAAATCAGAAGAATCATAATAATCAGGTGTGATGAGGAGACAATATGCATCCCGTCTCAATACAGTATGCATCCAGTCCTTTAAAAATAGGACACATACTGATAAAAGGTAAAGGTTTCCCTTGACATTAAATCTAGGTGTGTCCAACTCTGGGGGATGGTACTCATCTCCATTTCTATGCCAAAGAGCCAGCATTGTCCGTAGATATCTTTTAGGTAATGTGGCCAGCATGACTACATGGAGCACATTTACCTTCCCACTGGAGCAGCACCTATTGATCTACTCGCATTTGCATGTCTTCGAACAGCTAGGTTGGCAGAAGCTGGGACTAACAGCGGGAGCTCAAACTACTCCCCGGATTCGAACCAACCTTTTGGTCAGCCAGTTCAGCAGTTTAACCCACTGCACCACCAGGTATTTATTTATCGTATCAGGAACGAACCCAGGGTACAGCTGTAATGTATTTTTAAAAAGAACCCATAGTTTAAACCCTTGGCATTGTATTAGATGTCCTTCGACCAGTAGCTGGCTACTTGGAGTGCCTCTGCTGTTGAACTGGGTTATCAGAATCCACACTCAGATGTGAGATTTCCTGCCTTGATATTCTGGGATATATGGGAGCCCCTGGTGGCGCAGTTGGTTAAAGCACCTCTCCACCAAAGTCAACATCGACACTGAAATACAACACCGCCTGAGCTCTGCGAGTGCAGCATTTTTCCGAATGAAGCAGTGTGTTGGAGGACCGGGACATCTGTAGGGATACCAAGGTGCTTGTTTATAAAGCTATTGTCCTTCCAACCCTGCTATACGCCTGTGAAACGTGGACTGTCTGCAGACTGTCCCATGCAACTCCTGGAACGATTCCATTAGCGCTGCCTCTGGAAAATCCTGCAAATCTCTTGGGAAGACAAGCGGACAAACGTCAGTGTGCTGGAAGAAGCAAAGACCACCAGCATTGAAGTGATGGTCCTTGCCATCAACTCCGTTGGACCGGCCACGTTGTCCGGATGCCCGACCACCATCTCCCAAAGCAGTTGCTCTACTCCGAACTCATGAATGGAAAACGGAATGTTGGTGAGCAGGAAAAAAGATTTAAATATGGGCTCAAAGCCAACCTTTAAAACTCTGGCATAGACACTGAGAACTGGGAAGCCCTGGCTCTTGAGCGCTCCAGCTGGAGGTCAGCTGTGACCAGCAGTGCTGCAGAATTTGAAAAGGCAGGAATGGTGAAAGAGAGAAACGTGCCAAGAGGAAGGCGCGTCAAGCCAACCCCGACCGAGACCGCCTTCCACCTGGAAACCAATGTGCTCACTGTGGGAAAAGATGCAGGTCAAGAATAGGGCTCCACAGCCACCTAGGGACCCACAAGAATACTGATCCCGGAAGACTATCCTACTAGTCCAACATGATTCTCAACCTGGAGTCCCCCGATGTTTTTGGCCTACAACTCCCAGAAATCCCAGCCAGTTTACCAACTGTTAGGATTTCTGGGAGTTGAAGGCCAAAAACATCTGGGGACCCCAGGTTGAGAACCACTGCTAAGTGGCTCTCTGTTTAAAATGTTTCAGGCCTGGGGTTTTCTGTGGTTTCTGGGCTGTATGGCCGTGTTGTAGCAGCAGCAGTGCGTCCTGAGATAGGCCCCTTTCTCTTGGTTGTCCTCTCCCTGGAGCTCTGCCCCTCCAAGTGCAGCATGGGCCTACTGCGGCCTTCGAAGCCTCCCTTTCCCCGCGCCTCTCGTTGCCCTGAGGCCAGCTCCCTCGGCCTCTGCGCCGGCCTGGCTGCTGCCTGCGCGGGCCCTGGAGGCTGGACCGGGTGGGGAGGGAGGGAGCTGGGCTTCCGGGAAGGGGGGAGGGCTGGAGGCGGAGAGGGAGCCGCAGGCCGCGAGTGCCACGGTGTCTCTCTCTCTCTCTGTGTGTCTGTGTCTCTCTCTTCCCTCCTCCTGCGAGGCTGAGGCGGAGAGAGAGAGAGAGAGAGAGAGAGAGAGAGGCATCCGAGGCCGGGCGCCCGCGCATGCAGCCCTCACCCTGGAGCCCGAGCGGAGGCGGCGGCGGCGGATCGAGGAGCTCTCCAGGGCCTCCCGGCAACGGCTGCTCCAGTCCAGGGACAGGATGTTCTCCAAGTTCACCTCCATCCTGCAGCACGCCGTCGAGGCGGTAAGGTCCCACGCGAGGCCTGGGATCCGCTCGGGCCTAGCGCGGGGAAGGGGACTCGCTGGGAAAGATAGGCCTGCCCTTCGCCTTCCCCAGTCTCTAGGGCCTAGCTGGTTTTCTCCCTTCTCCCCAGAGCTTGGCATTACCCTTGGCGTTGGTTGTACTTATTTTCATATGTGTGTATACACGAAATAAACACAATCCATGTTTGTGTATGTATTTGCTGTATGTATTGCTTCTGTACATACATAGTGTTTATCTGCGTTGCATTTGTGTTATACATATATGCGTGTGCATTGTGTATATATATGTTGTATTTATATAATTTACACATGTATGCATGTGTTGTGTATGTCTGTGTTGCATTTATATTATACACAGAGACATTTATATGTGTGTGTGTATTGTGTCTATATGATGAATTTATATACACGTGTATGTGTTTATATGTTGTGTATATCTGTGTTGCATTTATATTAAATATGCAGACATGTGTGTGTGTGTGTATTGTCTATCACTGTGTTGAATTTATGTTAAATACACACAAATGTCTGTGTATATAGTGTGTGTGTGTATATATGTACACACACATATGTATGTATATGTGTTTATATCTCTGTATATTTGTTGCATAGTATATACACGCATGTGTATGTGTAGTATATTTATTGTACTTATATATGTACCTGAGCATATGTATATAAGTATGTGTGTATACTTGTACATATATTTGCTGTATTTATTTCATATGTAAATACAGAAATAATGCATACATATATGTACAAATATGTATTCACAACCGCACATATATGTATATATATGTTTGTGTTTATATGTATATGTGAAATAAATGCAACAGATACATACATGTACATATACGTGTATTAATATCAATGTAACCTATGTATATAATATAAATGCAACACAGATATACACAATATATACACAAACATATATGTATGTATATATAGTGTATATACACACATGCACACACACAACAAATAAATAAACATATACAGAGTGCGCCAAAAGTCACAATGTCATCTGATGTTTTACAATACCTTTTTGAAATTTTCTTTTTTGGAAATGGTTTTGTATTTGCTATAGTATTGTAAATTAAAAACAAAACAAATAAGGAGTTATTAAATATTGAAACCCTTTTGTGACTTTTGACCTACGCTATATGTGTATGTGTGTATGAAATAAGTACAACAAATGTATATACAGATATGCACACATTTACATACATACAGAAACTTTAAGTGAGGTTTGCAACTCTGTGCTTTGACAATGCAAGGAGTGCATGATTGCTCAGGGACAACAATTTGGACATCCTGCATAAAATGGTAATGTAAGATGGAATTTGTGATTCTGATTAAATCATTACTATAATGTATTTACTTAGCCTTCAAATAATCGCCATCACTATAATAGCTGTATCCATTTTTAGGGGGGGGGATACACTGCATGTGTGTATATATGTGTGTATATTTAATATAAATGCAACACAGACATACACAATACACATAGAAAGTAGGCCTGTTTGATCAAGAAAAAATTTGTTTCTAAAATCGATTTGTAATTGGGGTGTTTTTTTGTTTCGATATTTAAAATAATTACAAAACTTTCCCCCAAAAAAGTTTTGGTATTTACGAAATTTCGTAAATATTAACGAATTTTAGAATATTTTTTGTATTTTTTAAGAATAATATTAAAATAATATTAAAAAATATTTTAAAATGGAAAATTAACCAAAAAATGGCCCAAATGTGGACCAAACACAGGCAGGAGACAGCAAATGAGAGCACACACCAACAGAAGAGTCTTTTCTTTTTTAGAATATTTTTTTAAGAATAATATTAAAATAATATTAAAAAATAATATTAAAATAATATTAAAAAATATTTTAAAATGGAAAATTAACCAAAAAATGGCCCAAATGTGGACCAAACACAGGCAGGAGACAGCAAATGAAGCAAGCAGCACTCACAGCAGCAAGGAATGAATCCAATCCAGTTGCTAGCCATTAGCCAAGCCAACCCAATGCAAACTCCCTCGCCCTCTGCAGCAATGAGCTACGGCCGCGCCGCGCGGAGCCGCTTTGAAAGGGCTCGCCGGCCAATCAAAAACAAACAGCCACGGACCCACGGTGCACTGCTTGGGAGCGCCGGATTGGCGCCCAGGCACCAGCACTCCAGCAGCCTCCACCCCATTAACGAAACGAGCGGAAGCTCGTTAAATCTATGGGGGCTGCCGGTTCGATATTTTAAAACCCTTCCGGGTTTGGAAATGTGTTTTGATATCGCTTCAAAAATGCCAAAAATAACGAATTAATAACGAATTAACGAATTAACGAACGAAACCGCACAGGCCTAATAGAAAGGTTGATTTGTTTGGTGCCAAAAGAACAATTAGCAGGAAAAGGTCTCTCTGGGGAATCTCTTCTGGCTGCCTTACAGACAATAACAAATATGCCTCTACAATAAAATGTGGCTTTTCAAAAGCTGTATTTTGCCTAAGTGAGAAACACTCCCAAAGTGAAAAGGGGGAACTCTGGTTTTCAAAAACATGCTTCCTTAGGCCAGAGGCTGTTCTGCATTGGAAGGACTCCCACTTGAGCAAGGGGCCCTTTAAAGGTATAGATAAAATTGGCTGACAAATATCTAGTGAAGAAAGCTTGGACTCTTTCATACCACACAATTGTAGTGCTATGATTTCACTTTAGCTGCCATGGCCTCAAACAGGCGATGATAATGCACACATAGCTTGATCCCTTCACTACTGGTCTACTTTTAGGGGTCAGTCTTACTTTGAGTTAACTGCCTCAGGTTATAGATTTGGGTGCCATGAAAGGGCAGCAAATTCTAACCCAATTAGTTTATTGCTGTAGTATTTTGCTGCAAGAAGAAAGAGAGGCGGTTGTGGGATTTTCTGCCTTTGGTACCAAAATATGTTGCCTGGTTTTAGGGGCTATGTAATAAGGCTAGTAAGGCAGCGTTCGGGCAAGCAATTTCTATATGTTGCTCTTTTTCATGCAGTAAAAAATATTGGGCCTTCCCTGTTGTTTTTTGTTCAGAGATAGAATCACCTTTCCTCTACTTCTAACATAGGGACCAAGCAAGCAGGCAACAAGTACTAAGCTTGAAAAATCTTTGACAGACAGATTTTACTCTCATATGGACCCGATAAAAGTAGGATGAAGTTCTTCACCTTTCTTTTACAGACCACTCTTGTGAGAAAAACCACACACCAGCATGGTGTAGTGGTTTGGACACAAGAAACCTGGTTTCATATCCCATCTTGGCCATGAAAACCAAAGAGGTGACCTTGGACAAGTCAGAGCCTCAGAGGAAGGCAGTGGCAAATCCCATCTGAAGAAATCCTGCTGCATGATAGGGTTACCATAAGTCATAAATGACTTGAAGGCAAACACCACCAACAATGGGTCTGGTATTCATTGGCTAGGCATCTCAGATTTCAAGAACAGAGATCTAGGTATGATGAACATATAAAATTTTGAAGAATAACACAGAAGAATAAAATAAGATATACGGTACATGACACTCTGAAAGAAAACAAAAGTTATCACTGATAAATTCCACAGCCATGGTATCTGTCTCCTGCAGAAATTGTTTTCCACCAGTGACACATTTGACAGGAGTAGAAACAGGATACAGAAGCATATTGATTTACTTCATGCACATCCACAAATGAATGTTCCCATTTGAATGAATTTTGTTCCCACGCCAACAAAATATGCAGAAAGTAGAGAAACATTTCCACTTTGAGAGGTGGTTTCCCTATGGTGGCCTAAATTAGCATGCCCATTATTAGAAGCTTTTTTAAAAATACACTTTTATTAAGTGAATTAATGGCATACAGAATATGAGAAAGAAAAGCATGTAAAGGTAATCTAATACACATAATACAGGTATGACATTTCCCCGAACCCCCCCCCCACCCGTGAACCACCACCCATGACTTCTGCCACCATCCAGTGTGAAACTACTGTCTTAAAAAACCTACCCTTATCCTACATTAATAAATTCCCCTTGTGACTACTTTGAAATCTTTTAGCGAATCCTGTTTTATTATCTTTTAAAAATACATCATTGGTGGTAGCAAAACCAGCAATTTATCCCTAACTCTTCTCTTCCTTTTAGTCTCCAGTACTCAATTTCTTTAATTAAGTACTCCCATTATTAGAAGTTTTCAGGTGAATGTTGACATTTTTTCATCAGATGGCAGTGCATGTTGATAACAGTGCCATTTAAGCATTAAGTTAGCAATATCAGAAGCCCATCAAAACCTGTTAACAGTTCATACCTATATAATGAGATATTTTGATATACTGTACTTCATATAGCAGCCCATTTTTTACTCTTGGTGAAAGTTCATTGTAGTTATTCGTTTACCTTCCATAACCCAGTCAGGTTATCCCAGCAAATTCTGTTACTAGTGGCAAAGCATTCCAAAGGTTGATGATAGGTTATGCAAAGTATACCTTGCCTTCATGTAATTGCAATGCCGTTTAATGTACTTTAATAGCGTCTTGCACAATATGACTACAAAGTGAAGCCTCCAGAGTTTATCATTTCCCCCGATAAAATTTGAATGCCTCATTCAATACAGAATAATCCTGTGGTTTCCCAGCAATATTTTTGAAGAGGAAAGCCTTTCATTAAATAAAAAATTGTAAGAACATAATTTGTAAGGCCTCTCACCATATTAATTTCTTACTGTCAGAGTTCCTGATTCAGACTTCCAATGGATTGCTTCACCTGTTGCTTTTTAAAGTATGCTGGCTTTATACATAAGTGTTTGATTTTCATATATGCTTACAAATATATTCATATATGCTTCGAAATATAAAATATGATGTAACAAATATATAAACTGCAAATATATTTGTCAGATTCCTGGGAATAACTACATCATTATTTAAAATTAGTTCACAGTATATTGAATAAATATCTTATTTCATTTTGTTTACACAAAAGTAAAAAATCATACATTTATTAGTTGGACCCCATGAAGAAAATTTGCTACACATAGTTTAATTATTATCATTTCTGTACTCTCTTCAGTCATAAGGCCACTGTTTATTTGTGCTATTGATTTCATTTATTTTGGGATCTAGTTGGTTTGGTTTTTCTTTGTACTTGTATTTATGAATGTACTATGGCATTGAATATTTGCCATTTTTTGTTGGAATCCTCCCTGAGTCCCCTTGGCAAGATAGGGCAGAATACAAATAAACTTGTTGTTGTTGTTGTTGTTGTTGTATTGTTGTTACTATTATTATTATATAATCCTAGAGTGCTCCTGCTGTTGTTTTTTTGTTCTTTCAAGTAGACGCCAGTAAGGCAAGCATAACATAGGGGTCTCTTGTCAGGATTGATTCAGAGAAGGTTTGCTGTTACTTTCATTTTAGGTGTTAGGAAACATGACTTGCTTAAGATTACCCAGTGGATTTTCAGTAGTCTCTCTGAGTCCTAGTCCAATAGTCATACCACTGACTCTCTTATTTCTGGATATTGCTCAATAAAAAACTCAAAAGCAAACATTGCTTTGGTATCCTGTTCAGTTTGTTGAATGTAAAGAAGTTTCACAATCCTACTGAAGTCATGTTTTGTTGTTGCTGTGTGCCTTCAAAGTATTTCTGACTTAAGGTGATCCTAAGGTGGTCCTATCGCAGGATTTTCTTGGTGACATAGGTTCGGAGGGGCTTTTTCCTTGCCTTCCTCTGAGGCTGTGAGAGCATCATTTGCCTAAGGTCACCCAGTAGGTAATCATGACCGAGTAGGAATTTGAACTGATAGCATTGTTTAATTTTATAGTTTTCTTCTGAAAAATCATGTCATCACATTAGCTTGAGTCTCCTCTAGAACTCTTAGTTCAATTTCTAAAAATCAAGTTGGGGGTACATATAAAGCAGGCCATAGCATACTATTATTATTATTATATTTATACCCCGCTTTATCTCTACTGAGACTCAAAGTGGCCAAGCAACTCAAATAGCTGAGCACACTGTGACTGAAACCTAAGCCATGAAAACCCACTGTGTGACCTTGAGTCAGCTGTATTCTTTGAGCTTCAGAGGGAGACCAAGACAAAGTTTGCCAAGAAAATTCTGTGATAGGTTTGTTTTAGGGTCACCATAAGTCACAAGCAACTTGAAATCTGACTCCAGTTTATACTGAAAGTTGTTTTCCCAGTAATCAAATATGCATAATAGTATACCTTTCTGAATGGATTTGTACATTTTATTTCTTCCAGATTCTAAAGAGGATGAAAGCGGAGTGCTATCTCATCTCTAATTTTGTTAGTCTGAAGAGTAAGAGTCTGAATAAGCAAAAAATAAAGTGCCATAGCCAACCCTCATGCATCAAAATCAATGAGTTTAGGTGTTCATAAAGCAGTAGCCCATTTCAGAGATAAATTTTCCAGGTTCTTAAACTCAGATAACTGGATAATCAGATATATATGTACAGAGAGATGCAAAGCTGTATAGTAAAACTAATTTCTAACCATTAAAGGGGTTATTATTGAGGTATTCAGTTGATGAATCATTTGCATAAACCTGTAAATTCACTAACTATTTAATGCAATTCGAAACTATATTCAAACTGCAGCAACCAGACAAAAAACATTCACAAAGATGCACAGAGGCAGGGCCTTAATGTGCACCAGTGCTGTGTGGTTTGTGTAATCATCATCTAGACCAGGGGTCCTCAAACTAAGGTCCGGGGGCCGGATGCGGCCCTCCAGGGTCATTTACCCGGCCCTCGCTCAGGGTCAACCTAAGTCTGAAACAACTTGAAAGCACACATCAACAACAACAACAACAATCCTATCTCATCCGCCAAAAGCAAGCCTACACTTCCCATTGAAATACTAATAAGTTTATATTTGTTAAAATTGTTCATTTTAATTATAGTATTGTTTTTAAGTGTTTTTTGCACGACGAATAAGATATGTGCAGTGTGCATACGAATTCATTCATGTTTTGTTTCAAATTATAATCCGGCCCTTCAACAGTTTGCGGGACCGTGTCCTGGCCCTCTGTTTCAAAAGTTTGAGGACCCCTGATCTAGACCTCAAACTGGTTCCAGAATTGGGTTGTAGGTTTTTCAGGCTATATGGCCATGTTCTAGAAGCACTCTCCTGATGTTTCACCTGCATCTATGGCAAGCATCCTCAGTGGTTGTGGTTCCAGAATTCCAATATAATCATTTGTACTGTACAGTGAAACCACTTTCTTCAATACTGCATTACATGGTCAGTGTAGATGGAGCCTTATTTAACTCACAGGATGCTTACTTAAAGTCCCATGCCTGCTTCCCCCAGGTAACTGCGTATAACAGGGTTGGGTAAGGCGTTGTCCTCCAGATATTGGTGCAACTGCAAGCAACCATACCCAGCATCGCCAGGGTCAGGGAGCATAGGAAGCTGAAAAGGTTTTGCAGCCAAAAACAGATTCATTGAATTTGATCGATTCATTTATTCCAGTATAAAAATGTACAATGCCATAACTAGCACATACTATCTTAAAGAAAGCATTTTCCAACATGGTGTTTGTCCTGCACTTGAACAAAAATAAATATACTCTTTTTGGTTGTGCTGTACTATCTTGTGAACACATATATGATCCAGAATAAATCAGTTAATTAGTTAGCTAACAGTATAGGTATAGCATCACTTTTCCTGGGTGACCAAGGCAGCTTTCTAATGGCTCAGAGTGTACAACCTTTGCTTCATGCGAAATTATAGAAAACATTGTGTATACCAGTGTTTCTCAACCTGGGGGTCAGGACCCCTGGAGAGGTCATGAGGGGGTGTCAGAGGGGTCACCAAAGAACATCAGAAAATACAATATTTTCTGTTGGTCATGGGGGTTCTGTGTGGGAAATTTGGCCCAATTCTCTCGTTGGTGGGATTCAGAATGCTCTTTGATTGTAAGTGAACTATAAATCCCTGCAACTACAACTCCCAAATGTCAAAACACACACACACACACACCTAACCCCACCAGCATTCAAATTTGAACATATTGAGTATTTGTGCCAAATTTGGTTCAGTGAATGAAAATACATCCTGCACGTCATATACTTACATGGCAATTCATAACAGTAGCAAAATTACAGTTATGAAATAGCAACAAAAAGAATTTTATGGTTGGGGGTCACCACAACATGAGGAACTGTATTAAGGGGTTGCGGCATTAGGAAGGTTAATAAATTCTGGTATATACAATAACCTGCATATATATGAAATAGTAGTGAATTTAATGTTTAGTCATAGATCCTATCTTCAGGATATCACATTATGTACAATATCATTATGTACAATGAGCAATAGCTCAGTTTTTTAGATTACTTATTGAGTATTGGCAATGGTATTCCTGTATTGGTGGTCCCTGTTGATTTGAGCTGTGGAATGTGTTGACACATGCTATGCTATGTGTCAACACATTTCTGTCTCGAGGAAGACAAAGCTTTCCTGAATATTTCTTTTGGGAGGGGGGCAACCTTGTGAGGTTCCATTTTTACAAGGAGGTCACAGAATTGGAGTGCTTCATGAAGTCTATTTTCAAGGACATCAGAAGCATACTTCTGAAGTAGCTGAAGGGAAAGCTAAGATATAATAAAGTCCTAGAAATATTTGTGAGTCATAAAATGCGGTTTGGCTAACTTGATTGATCGTTCGTTTTTACCTTGACCTGTCAAACTGGGAGGAAATGTGGACTGGTGGCTCTGTTTAGAGTTCTGTGTACACTCAGAAGTACTCCTACAGCCATGACGGAAGACAAAGTTCCTTTATCGTTCAAAACTGGTTTTCCTTTGGCAACAGTTGGGAAGTTTCTTTTATATCCATGTACTTTCTACTGGCAACTTTTGTGGCCAAAAGTTCCATTGTGTGTCCATTGCTATTTCACACATATGCTTTGAAACATTAACTGAATAGTTTTGTAGGCCAAAAGTTTGGGAATATCTTATTCCTATTCCTTGTGTCTTCTCTCCAGCTTGCACCATCTCTTCCATTACAAGAAGATTTTGTTTACCACTGGAAGGCCATTACACACTACTACATAGAAACATCAGGTGAGATAATTTTGATCACACTTTCATAATCAAAATAAGTAGAGGAGGAAAACTTCATTATCGCTTAAAAGAAATGCTCTTAAATTGAGGAAGCTGTAATAGGTGGCCTTTCAGACTATGCTTTGCAGGTACTTCTAAAATTCAGTAGCATTAAAACAGAAATCTGAGATCTTTCGCTGTTGCAATTTGTTTTATGACCTTGTTCCTCTTTGCATTCAAATGACAGTTATTTGTAGAGATTGCATAAGGGGGGATTGCTTGCTTGCCACTGGATTATTTATATGCTTGTAGCATGCAGTAAAAATTACTTGTAGATTCATCATTTGAAATTGCATTACCTTTGCTTTCAGTCTGCTAAAACTAAATACAGATTTCTGGAAATAAATAAAAACAATATTGATTTCAGTTTTTAATTTCTGCCAGTATAACATTAGAATAAAATTTTATTTTTCCCTTTGCACAAATTAACCAATGTTTTATATTGTGATTTAGCACATGAAAAAGGCTACACAAGTGTAAATAATGCACAGGCAGCCTGTAATTAGAAGCTCAATCATCTTGTTTCTATCTCTTTTGTTGAGCTTAATTCCTAGTTATTTAAAATATATCATAAAAATTTACAGTCATCCTTGTTCATTTTAATATGAATTGGGACTCCATGAAGGAGCTTAGGTAAAGTAACACATATACTCCTGCATTTTTCCACCATTTCTCTTGATTACAATTAAACACAATTATCCTGTATAAGGAAAAACAAGTTAGATGCGTGTTGAGAGTAGAGATATACTATTTAACTGTGAATGGAAGTTGTATTTTTTAATGGAGACTCTTTCTGTAGATGATAAAGCCCCTGTGACTGATACCAACATACCATCTCACCTGGAGCAGATGCTGGATATTTTAGTTCAGGAAGAAAATGAAAGAGAGTCTGGAGAGACCGGGCCTTGCATGGAATATCTGTTGCATCACAAGATCTTAGAGACTCTGTATACTCTAGGCAAGGCTGATGTAAGTATCCTAGGTTTCATGTCTCAAAATGCCTCTTCCACAGTTTTGACCTGGTTTGCTGTATAAACAGTTTGTTATTGGCCTGAATAGGCATTACCTGACTCTGCAATCAATCTACCTGCCACAGTTTTCAAGCCACAGGCAAAGTAAAGTCTAAGTGAGCAGGAGGATGGCTGAACTGTTAACAGCATTTCTGGAGAGCTCTGCACACATGGATGTTAGAGATAAGAATAGCTGAAGATCTTCAAGGCATGTCTGGCAACATGTAACGTCTTCTTTGCTAGGTTTTACTGCAAGCACATTAAGGAAATTCGCCCACTTCCTCTGGAACAGGGCTTCTTAAACCTTTTCCACTTCTGACCATTTCCTCTTGACCCTGGGTATATAAGGTATATAAAATAATATAAAAAACAAATATTTACTGATATGAAACCAGCGTTTGCAAAACTTGCTAAACAGGCTGATTTTCCATTTATTTATTTATTTATTTATTTATTTCCTTGTTGAAGCATTTTCTGCATAGTCCACTGTAATCACTATAATTGTTGCTAACAAATTCGTGTAATGTCCAAAACAGCCGCTAGGTGATGTTCAGAACATTTTTACTATTACCAAAGTTTTCGTGACCCCAACATTGAGTTTTGGAGACCTCATTTAGAGTCAGGACCCACAATTTAAGAAGCAGTGCTGTAGTGGGCATTTAGAGATGGGAAAATGCCTATACAATGCCCGTGTTGTACAACATGCATTAGAGATGTGATGGCCTCAAAGGAGAATAACATTTTCCTGGCCTCTTCCATTCCCTGCTCTTGTACCATGAAAAAGCTATTTTGGGGGCATTTTTTGAGTGTCCACATCTCTAGTATACACATACAGTGGTTAGAAAAGATATGCACACTCCCTGAGATGCAGCCAAGGCAATTGGCTGTATCTCAGTTGTAGTGCAGTTGTAGTGTTGTATATGATGTAAAAAATTAGAAATAGTTTCATAAGCCTTTTAGATTAAGAAGCACAAATAAATGCTTTGCTGAGATCCAGAGAGTTGTCGTTTAGTCATGGCATCACTTATAGCAGTGGTTCTTAACCTGTGGGCTGCGGACCACCAGTGGGCCACGAGGACAAAAATCTGGTTTGCAAGCCTCCTTCCTCTTTATTTTATTTTATTTATTTCTTCTCCTTTCGCGCTTCCTGCTACTCCTTCCCTTTTGCTGAGCACAGCGTATGTTCTGTATCAAACTAGAGCTGGTGTGATCTATCCAATGCAATTTTCTGAATCAGCACCCCAAACCGAATCTGAAGTTGACCAAAAACTGATTCATAAACCTTTTGGTACTAATGTGGGAAACTGCTCCCTGATCAAATGGTCCCTGGTCAAAGTAGTCCTTCGTAAAAAACAAAAAATGATTGGGAACCACTGCCATATAGCCAGAATCAAACTTAAAAGCTTTCAGATAATTTTATAGCATGGCTCCTTCCAGAACCTTTCTTGCAGATCGAACTCTTTAATGACGCACCCATTTTTTATTTTACTTTGAGCTGATGCAACCACAAGTTTGCACCTACATCGACTGTTATGTGTTCATTTTTGCCCAGTGTATATATTGTTTTATTTTGCAACATGTGGAATTTACAAAGTCCAGCATAGTGAAACAGGAATTTCCATAATGATCATTAACAGCATTTGTTGCTATGGTAAAATATTTTAATCACCTCACCTCACATCGCACCTTGACAGCCTCATTCCTCTGCATAGCAAGTGCGAGAGACTCCTGTACAAAAACTCAAAATATTGTGTGCATGTGGTAGCTCTTAGTTTATTTGTGTGCCACTTGTATAAACAAGTTTGTTCCCAATGTGATTTGCAATCTATCAGATGTAGAACATTACCAGTTTAAAATATAGCATGTAAAAAGGTCACTAATTGTGTCAACAATTCAGTACTGAAACATTATCAGCAACTTGCAGAACAACTGATGGGACCGCGTTGGGCAACACTTTCAGTAAATGTGCAGTCCTTTCTGAATTTTAGTCCATGTTTTAAATGTCAATATGTACTTCACAGTTTATCTTACAAAAACTTTCCTTCATAACTGTTTTAATTCTAATGTTTTATAACAGTGTTATTTAGTGTATGATTAATCAGATTTTGAATGTATTTCATATAGTTGTCATTAAACTCATAATTCTATGCATTGAAGTGCTTTTCTTTATCAGTTTGTAGATCTTTTTAATACCATTTTTTTTTCTTTTTTCTTTGTTTTATAGTGTCCTCCAGGTATGAAACAACAAGTTTTGTCTTTTTATACAAAACTTTTGGGAAGAATACAACAGCCTCTGCTTCCACACATAAATGTACACAGACCTGTGCAGGTACTGAATTGGTTTCATAAGTTTGCATGTTGAAATTGACTCTTTTAATAAATGGAATAGCACAGTTTTGTGAAATACTACAATTTTCTTATTGTATTTTGTTGCATTTAGATTTTCTATAGTTTGATTTTTATTAATTATTTTTGACAGAAATTAATCAGACTTTGTGGTGAAGTCCTAGCAACACCCACAGAAAATGAAGAAATCCATTTTCTTTGCACAGTGTGTGCAAAGTTGAAACAAGATCCATACTTGGTTAACTTCTTCCTTGAGGTGGGTTAATATTATTGCTTTCTAATGAAATTATTATTATGAGAAATGCATCCTATCCAAGATACAACAAAGTTTTCTAAACTAGATCTTTAAAAAACGTGTGCTTTGAAAAATCCCATTTATAGTAACAATAGTAGCCCTTCAACGTCAATACAGTTGCTTCCTAATTATGTACCTTATAAAGTGATAGAAGCACCTTAGATAGAACAACAACAATAATTTTATTTTAATTTATTTTCCACCTCCCCTTTTAGCTCGAGGTGGGGCACAACGTATGGGTTGGAAAGGACACTGACAGACTTCCCTGAACAAAGTCCATAATTATTACATAAGACAGGACGTTGCTTTATGTTGCTGGCTGCCTCCCTCTCACTCATTGGTCAGTAGGTTGGCAGTTGAAGGTAATGGAAGGGAGGCAACCTGCAACCTTGGGCTAGCAGTGTGAGTTCGAGAAGTCAGGTTTCTGAATCTCTTCTATCTTAGAGGTTATAGAATTAAAATTGAGTTTAGGAATAGAAAAAAGTATGTTGGAGAGAAACAAGTAAAACCCTTACATATAGAAAGCCATTCTGCAAAGGTTGCCTATTTGTAAGTTGATAGCAGACGTTAAGAATTATTTCATTCATGACAATATGGAGTGTAGAGCAAAAGGCAGAAGTATTTTGTTTATTTTCAGGCATTTACTTGTTATAATTCTGAAATTGCTTTCTCATTTTAACTTTGAGAGTAGTAGGAATACTTTGTCACATTTACAACAAGATTTAGAAATGTGAAAGCAGATTTTCCAGTACAGAAAATACTCATAAGGTCAAACTTGGGTTTGTTTGGGGTTTTTTTTTTTTTTGGGGGGGGGGGTTGCATTTAAGCAAAGCCCCAAGTGCATTATTATTTTATGCATACAGCCTGACATATTGAAAATGGTAGTCTGCACTCTGAAGTAGTTCTGCAAATATATATAAGAGCATTTTATTAGCACATTACCATCATATTCTGCCAACATGTGTCTACATGTTGGGATGTTTTTCTTCTTGAATCTTTAGTGAAGTGCTTTTCCTGTAGTTCCTTATAGCAAAATTCTGTTTTTGTGTGCAGTCAGTCAATAAAGCGGTGGTGAGTAGGATCTTCACATTTTCCATGATTTGAAACATTACATGAGAAACAAAGCCATGGAAAAAATACTCCAGGCTCAATAGCATTTGTTGTAGTGTAGCATCCTCACCAAAATAGTATATGGCATTTGTTTATGTAGACACTTTGCTGTGCAATAATAAGCTGTAAAAGGGAGAAGTCTGTACTAATGAACCTTAATTTAATGATCAACATAGATTATTCCAAGTTAGCAATTTTGTATGTTTATCTTAAAGTTTAAGAAGAAAATATATTTTAAATGTTCAGCAGGAGTGGTTTCTCCACCCAACAGATCTCTGTTGGGTGGAGAAACATAAAGAAAGCTTTTGATCATGACAGGTGTTTCTGCACATTGGTTAAGTCATTAAAGCCTTTTCGTAACTGGAAACTGTTTCCAAATCTCTTCTGTCTACTACTGAGCCTTCATCATAGTGGATTTCTATCTTTCCAAGTTATTTCTCCATAAGCAGGGTGAAAAAATGTTTAAAGGGTGATTTCCAATAATTGATATGTTGATTTTTTGTCACAGAAAGCTGTTTCTTGGATAGTTTTCGTGATATTGCAAAAACATAGGATAGCATCACTGTTGCATTTCTCAAATTATTGGTATACACTAACACTCCTGTGCTGTGGGAAAATCTCAATGTTGCTTATTTTTATAGATTGCTCTTTTCTGGTGGTGGTATCTTTAAGGCAGTTTGAAGTGAAAGGTACAAAACAGCTTCTGAAAAAGTTTCATATAGTCAGGTTTGCTTGGTTTTTTATTTGCTGCTGTGGAATATTTTTTTTTGTTTTTTTATTTTATTTTTTTGGTTTGGCGTTTTTTTCTTAACCCAAAGAAATGCTTCCATGTGCCACTAAACTCAATTTTTTTATTTTCTTTCTGTTATGTTCAGCAAGTTTTTTGCTTGTTCTTGTTACTCCCAGTGATCTAGTAGTGAAGTCTTTTGTGTTGCTGATCTTGATTCTGAAAACACAGAGCCTATTTCATTAAACTTTCCTATTAGGTGATTCATGATCCTGTCCTGCATGCACCTAAGAGGCAGGTGAGCAGGTGGGCCTCAGCACTGCATGAACAGGCCAGGCACTCCTGACCATTTTTCCTAAGGCTTGATGTAACAAACTGTTGTTGTTTCTCTAATCCACTAACATTGTAATACGGGTGGCAACATTCTCGTTGACTATTAGAGTTGGGCCTGAATCACTGTTAATGAAAATATTTGTAATTTTTGGAGGGCCATTTTCGTGTAATTTCCGAAAACAGAAAGTGGAAGAGAGAGACTAAAAGACCACGGAAATGAATTCAGAGAGACAATATTTTCGGAAAGAGTCAAGTCCACAAAATACCCGAGGCAGGGGGATCTGTGGCGTCTTTTTCTCTCCTGGCAAAAGAAGCCTCCTCTATTTTTTCTTGGAAAGTTCCCTCTTCCTCCAGAGAGGGTCCTTAGAACATTTCCCTGTGGCACTAGCATAGAGTGGCCATTGAAATTCCTCTCAGAGCATGATGGGAGTTGATTTTTTTCACTGTGTGTCTCTCAGCCAATGAAAAGCCTGGTGGTGTCCATACTCTGATTGACTGAGAATGGACACAACCGGTAATCACAATTCCCAGAGCCCTCTCTTGCGGTTAGTCTTATTTTAAAAATTGTTATGTTTAAAACTTAAAATAATTTTAAAAAATCAGTAGATTTGTGAATTGTTTTGAAACTTGGCAAGCCTGCAGTTGTAAATGGGGTCTACAACTGAGGTAGGTTTCATTCAGATAGACCTTAAAATGGATGAGGATTGAGCCTTTAAAATTTCCCATTGTAGCCAATGGGCCAAATCTCTGCTGAATGAAATGGAAAATGCCCCTCCACTTTCAGGTGACTTTCTGGTAAACAAAATGAGGGATCAGACGAAAACAAACCCGAAAACGGTATGCCTTTTGGCCCAAATACACATAACTATTGACAATCACTGTATAGGAATAAACTATGCCCCTGTACTAACTCATAAAAAACAGACAGCTTGAAGCTGAATAAATATTTGGTTTCTTGCTAGATTGGGTTGCATTTCAGAGCTAAGCATAATCCCTTGGATCCATGTCCCTATATTCACTTAGCAATGCTTCATAAGTATTTTTTCCTTATTATTTTGGAACTAGTACAAAGATTACCACTAAAAGTTTAAGATGCTAGCTGGTGCACTCTCTGCTGGTCTAAGGTCCAATTTAAAAGAGGTATCAAACGACAGATATAGCACTCCTTAACCAGAATTCCAAAATCTGAAATACTCTGAAATCCAAAAGTGTCCATGTGGATGGTTTGCTTTCTGATGGTTCACTGCACATCTGTTGTTTCATGCACAAGATTTATAAAAAGTTGTGGGTATAAAAGTACCTCCAGGCTATGAGTATAAAGTGTATATAAAGTATACATGAATTTTGTGTTTAGATGTAGGTCTCATCTCCAAAGTATCTACATATCTATAAACATAGGTTTTCCAAAAAACAAAGAAATCTGAAAACCAAAACACAAATGTTTTAGAAAAGGGATACTCATCCTGTGCTAAAATAAAATGTGACCTATAAGATTATGTTGAACATAATGTTTTCACACAATGCCTAACACTGTATGTGTTATATTAGTGCATGAAGAATTTGTGGCCCATGTACACACTGCATTGGCACCCTAATGCTTCCAGGTATCTCAATTGATATATTTGCATATAAGCCAGTGTGGAAAATTATATTTTAAATAATCGATGTCACTTAAATTGACTATATTCCTAGGAGGAAAAGGAGCTATATCTAATTCATTTAGAAACAAATCAACATTTCTGTGAGAATTTTTTTCAGGAAAGCTACAGGAACATTGGGACATGCAAACACTATTACTTGACCCATTTTTCTTCCCATCTATGTTTACACTGAGAATCATCCTGTTATATTATACTACTTTATAACCTTAACCTATATATAATTTCTGGATCTGAGTTCATTTTCTGTAATGCATGGGGTGTTGTATGTTATCCCATCACTTGTTGGAACACAAAGGTAAATATTGCTCAAAGCTGTAGGATAATTATTTGCCCAATTGGTGTTTATGCCAGCTTATTTTAACAGAGAATTCAAGTACTTCTGGACTGTAAAAAAGAATTTGACGAGATCCATTAACTTCATCTTCAAGGATGATGAGTTATATGTTCATATATACATTTCCCCCTGTCGAATGCAGCTATTAACATACTGAATCTTTGTACTTGTGGGCAAATGTGAGGGTACTTTTTTTAAAAAAGTAATGTAGATTTGTGAAAGGAGTGCAAATCTTGCCCATGAAATAGATGATGTGGAAGACTTGCAAAAGAATCAAGACCGTGTTAGAATGATAAACAACCTAAAAATAATTGCTAGTTTTAGTGCATTTGTTTTTTGTTTTTCTTAGAGATTATATAGTTTAGTAGCGCGATTAGATTGGAATCTGAAGCTCTTTGCAGAGTGAGAAAGATAAAGTGAATTGGGGTCTTGACCTGAAAATCCCCATTTTCTGTTGAAAGCTTTAGTATCATAAGGCTGCCTGCATCTAGAGACTGTGACATTCCTTTAGAATATTGAAATCAAATGACATCCTCTCATACTTTGGTGATAGAATAAGTGCAACTGTTGGAATAACTGGGACAAAAGGAGATTTAAAAGACAATGGAGAGGTCCATCTGGAGGTTATTTGTCATCTTCTGAGGTTTTCTCTGTATCCTGCATTCACTAATAATTCAGTGACAACTTTTTCCATTGAAGTTCATCTTGCTAACCTACCTTTCCATAGAAAGAGCTCTGTCTAGATTTGGTTGTGGTTCTGTTATGTGTTTCCCTGCACTTGAAGTGTTGTCTCATCTTACCAGGGTTGCGGGGTTGTCTTATCTTAAAATGTATGGAAGGTTTGAAGTATGCTTTAAGTTTCAGTCATTTTTAAACTTTTTGTTATATGACAACTGCATCTAACCTTATTGATGGAAAGTATTTTGGGAGAAAACAAGAAACATAAGAAGAAAGCAACTACAAGGAATAACAATGTTATTGTTTGCTTCCAAAGTGTTCCTGACCTGTGGCAACCCAAAGACAAACTTTTCTTGGCAAAATTTCTTCGGAAGAGGTTTGCCATCAGCTTTCTCTCAAGCTGAGAGAGAGTGTGAATTTCCCAAGGTTGCCCAGTGGTTTTCATTTTAAAAAAAATCATGAGATAGTAGTTGAGAAAAACTAATCCAAAATATATATTCATGACTGCTCAGTAGTCTGTATAAGTTAGACAAAAATAATAACATCTTGAATCTTCTCAGTATTGGCTTGAAACAGATTAACTCTCAGAGAACACAAGCCAACAAAATCAATTTTTTGTAATAAACAGAAATGAGAGTAGCACAGTTTAAATCAATTTTATGCTGATTTTAGATATGTCTTTATTTTTTTCCCATCACGTCAACTTTTAAAAATAGGACGGATGGTACATTACAGTGGACTACTATAAAGTCTACAGATTTCACATCATATTCGTGTACCACAAGCCAACAAGTATTTTTCATCAAATATGATTTTAGGTCATTCTTATAGAGTTTTTTTTTTTTGCGCTGAATTCAGATTTGTGTTTATTTTTTCTCTTATCACGTGTCATTTTTGCAATGAGGCAAATAGAATAATTCGTGCATTTACGCACTAATGTCAATTAGATTTTATTGATATCAGTGCGTAAATGCATTAATCATCACAAAAACTACATGTGATTGATATCTCTATAAGAATGACCTGAAATTATATTTGATGAAAAATACTTGTTGGCTTGTAAAATCAAAGATAAACTCTGTGCTTAAGAGTCCTCAAACAATGGAGAACACCTTCTTCATATTCACATGAATACATTTCAGAAACTGAAAACCAATTAGCTTCTTGAGAGAAAAATCATTCCACTTGATTGTTTCTTCTTCTGTTTCTTGGTGTGTTTTGGATAACCGCACTTGAATCTCTGCCTACTGGATTTACAAAGCATTGATGTTGCTATATTTCTGCTTTTTAGCAAATAGCAATTTTGTCTTCATAATTCTCTGTCTTTAATGCTTTTCAGAACAAGCTAAAAGGACTGGCTTCCAAAGGCACAGCAAGCTTAATTGCAGGAGACATGCTAAAAGGCCAAGATTCGGTGACAACAGATACAGGGCAGGCTCTTCAGCCTGCAGAAACATCAAGTGGAGCAGATCATGCAGAGAGAGAGAATGACCTTCCTGAGCGGGCAGATGACCTGTCCACAAGTCTAGATGAATTAAACGTTACACCATCCCCTGAGGCATTGGCTGTTCCTCCACACGGGGACTATAATTTAGTGAATTCCTTGCTCAATCTCACCAAAAGCCCAGTGAGTCAATATCAGATGTGGCTGGATTAATGTTTGAGGTTTTAGGAGAATGTGTATTTGTGTCTTGATCTGTCTGAAGGGTTTTTATTGATTACATAGAAATAAAGGAGAAGGATCTCAAATGTATAACATATTACAAACTGCTAAGTGCCCAGTCATTAAGTTTTATATTATTTTGAATATCGTTGGCATATGGGAACAGAGACACATTTTTCTTCTTTCACTTAGTTTTTACAAACCACTTCCACACCTGTTTAAAGTGAGGTGTCTTCCCACCATCCCAACTAAATATTCCAAACAGATGGAATAAAAACTAAGCCTTCTTTTATTAATTTCAAATGTTCAGAAATATTTTAATCTCCTCGAAATTGTAAGTTGAGCTTTCAGATAAGCTGAAATAAAAAAACCGAGGTATGGAGGCTGCTCTTCTGTCATTTTTCATCCCTCTCGTAATGATGGCTGCTAGTTTATTTTTAACCAAAGCCTGTAGGCAATACAAAAAATTTTCAGGGTCATACTGTATGTTGCCTTGCTCAAAATAGGATGTACTAGAATAAAGCAGTACAAAACCCATGTGTTGTGTTTGTAGATTATAGAGTCCAAAAAGTTGAACAAAAGCAGTGATCCTTTACCTAGCATGCTGTCTCCTCTGCAATGAGAAGGAATTCAGAAAGTTGAGCCTTTGCTATCAGAAACTTCACACTTTTGCCCTTAACTAGTTTGTGATGCCATCTGGAACAATCTGTGGTTGTCCTGTAACCCCCCCCCCCCCCCCCCTTCCATGATGCTTTCTTTTAAAGCTCTGCAGGACTTAATAAATTACTTGGGTGAAGGTCTTCTGTATCTGCCTCGCTATATACTGCAATCATCTTCACAGTCTTTCCCCAAGATACCTCTATGACCTAAAATGAGGCACATGATTTTAGGGGCTTTTAGGGAAGGGACATTTTGACTAAGTTATCCTCCTTTATGGATGTCTCCTTCCAGTGACGTTCCTGCGGCACCTATGTATTACTTACTTTTCCAAGTTCTTGACCTCTGAGATATTGCTATGATTTTTTTTAGCACTGCTTTTATTTATGCAATTTCTCAGGGAATTTTACATTAAGGGTTTATAGGATGGTATTCAGTACATTGTAAATTATTCCTTCTTAGTTACCATGTGTATGATTTGGTTGCAAATCTCTCACAAGCCTGCAATCAAAATGATACGTTAATATATTGGAATGTATTTTGTGTGAGCCCCCTGTGGCACAACAGGATAAACCACTGTGCTGCTGAATTTGCTGACCAAAAGGTCAGCAGTTTGAATCTGTGGAGTGGGATGAGCTCCTGCTGTTAGCCCCAGCTTCTGCCAAACAGTTCAAAAACATGAAAATGTGAGTAGATCAGTAAGTAGAAGATATTGGCACTCCATGCAGTCATGACCTTGGAGGTGTCTACGGACAATGCCAGCTCTTCGGCATAAAAATGGAGATGAGCCCCCCCCCCCCCCCCCCCAGAGTCGGACTCGACTAGACTTAATGTCAAGGGGAAACCTTAACTTTACCTTTTAAATATTCTAAAGGCACCAGAACCTATTTGATCTTAAAAGCTAAGCAAGGTGAGCTCAGAAAAAACAGCTGTGTGGAATCCTTGCCAAGAAGAACTCTGTTTAGTTCATGGGGCCACCATAAATAAAACAATTGCACACATTTTACTTTTGCCTTCTCTTGTGTGGTAGGACGGTCGAGTAGCTGTGAAAGCTTGTGAAGGTCTCATGCTTCTTGTGAGTTTACCTGAGCCAGCAGCTGCCAAATGTTTAACTGAGAATACATGCCTATGCAAACTGCTGACAGACCGGCTGTCCTCTCTCTACAAAGCCCTTCCTCAGTCGATGGATCCCTTAGATATTGAAACAGTGGAAGGTGTTAACTGGGGGTAAGGCTTACTTATTTGTGTTGCATGTTTACCTTATGGGTGTCACATGAAACATTTCTAAATTACACAGATTAGTATTGTATTTTACCTTAATGCTGAAATACATTATGGTGGAGATGGCCCGAAAGAGTAAAAGCAAATGTTTAGTTAGAAATGCTGCTTCAGATTGCACTGTGATATTCAATAAATGCCTTCTTTCTACATTCATTTTGCACTTCAGCTTGGATTCCTACAGTCACAAAGAAGATGCATCTGCATTCCCTGGCAAAAGAGCTCTGATTTCATTTCTATCCTGGTTTGATTACTGTGATCAGCTCATTAAGGAAGCACATAAGGTTTGTAATACCTGTTTTAATCATTACCTATGTATTGTCCAAACTATGTTTTCAAAATTAGAAAGGTAATATTTTGGTGCTCTCCGCATTCCAGACAACTGCTGTTGCTATGGCACGCTCAGTGCGGGAACGTTTTTTTGTTGGTGTAATGGAACCCCAGCTAATGCAAACGTGAGTAAACCTTTGCTGTTGTAAAAGGATGTTGGTTGTGTCCCGTCCCCTCAATCCCCCCGTCTTGTTTAAAAAAGTATTTAAAAATCATTCTTCTTGGGCCAGTTCAGAGATTGGGATCCTGACGTCTACTGCCCTGCTGCATCGCATCATTCGTCAAGTCACTTCAGACGCCTTGATGCACGAAATGGTATACTTTATCCTTGGAGAACAGAGAGAGCCAGAAAAACAGGCAGACATCAACAGACATCCATTGCGACATTGCTTAATTGAGCACTGTGATCACATCTCAGATGAAGTAAGAAGTTATAATATAGTATATACGCTGTGGTGCTGCCAAGTTCGCTGCCATTTCGCTAGTAAACAACTGTTTGAATCATTAGTCCTCCTGATATCCAACAACATTTTTTTAAAAACCAGGAAGAACTCTTGACTGTTTATGGGGTTCATATTCAGACATCTGATACAATGTTCTTAATTTCATTCAGTGCTGCACTAGTGTCATTTTGCAACAGTGAACACTGATCTTGCTTTGAGGCTCATTTATCCTTATATCAGAAGAAAATTTTTGAGAGAGAGTAATTCAGAGACCTGAAGTCCTGAATATGAGGTCTACCTCAGTCATGAATTCACATGGTGCTGGTAGAGAATGAGGCTCAATAGTTCAGAGTCCTTGGCCAATAGCCAAGGGTCTGGAGATCCTAGCTTCTGCCCATAACTAATAGTAGCTGTTGCGTCTTTGGCCAGTCATGCATTATTCCTACAATAAAGGCATTTAAGCACTGTAAAAAGGTATAAACGATTACTCTGGAAAGTATTAGTTCAACCTTATGATCTTCAGTGAAGTCTACATGGGGATAAAGCAGCGTTTCTCAACTTGGGAGTCGGGACCCTGGGGGGGACACGGGTTTCGGAGAAGTCGCCAATGATGTGGGCCAAGTTTGGCTCAATTCTATCATTGGTGGAGATCAGAATGCTCTTTGATTGTAAGTTAACAATAAATCCCAGCAACTACGACTCCCAAATAACACAATCAATCCCAACCCCATCAGTATTCAAATTTGGATGTATTTGTGCCAAATTAGGTCCAGTTAATAAAAATACATCCTGCAAATCAGATATTTACATTATGATTCATAACGGTAGCGAAAATACAATTATGAAGTAGCATCAAAATAATGTCATGGTTGGGAATCATCTCAACATGAGGAACTGTATTAAGGGGTTGCAGCATTAGAGAGGTTGAGAAACACTGGGATAAAGAGTATTATGTTACCACATTATATTTTATGGTCACTCTTAATTGTTAGGGGGCCTCTGATGGCGCAGCAGGTTAAACTCTGAGCTGCTGAACTTGCTGACCAAAAGGTTGGCGATGTGAATCCGGGGAGTGGGGTGAACCCCTGCTATTAGCTCCAGCTTCTGCTAACCTAGAAGTTAGAAAACATGAAAATGTGAGTAGGTCAATAGGTACCGTTTCTGTGAGAAGGTAATAGTGCTCCATGCAGTCATGCTGGCCACATGACCTTGGAGGTGTCTATGGACAATGCCAGCTCTTCAGCTTAGAAATAGAGATGAACACCACCCCCCACAGTTGGACACAACTAGACTTAATGTCAGGGGAAACCTTTACATTTTACCTTATTGTTATGTGAGGCCTGTGCCATTTTTTAGATTTTTTTTCTGTTTCATTAGATCATGGTCAGGGAATTTCTGGCCCACTAAATGTTGGCAAACTCTTGTGTTCATGCCAACCTTGTTGAAAATTATTGGAGGCTGTCGTTACCTGTATTTATTGCTCTTTTATAAATTTCTGTTGTTGCTATAAAACTATTAGCTTTTCTTGGTGAATATATTAACTATTTTCTCCTAATGAATACAGAAGCATAGGAAAACATACCAGAGGTCCAATTTAGTTAATCAAAAATAGAAAACATTTATTTTAGAACAAAGGAAGATAACGTCATTAGAATAGAGTTAACTCTTTTTAGGAGTGTGCATATGTATGTGTTTATATACACATATTGTATCTATGTATATATGAATATAGCATTCTTTTGTCCTCTGCCCTCAACAATTAAGTTTTAACAATATCAAGAAGATCCGCATGAAAAAGTGTTAAAGACATGAAAAACTTCGTCATGGGTGCAGGGCTGTAAAGATCTGCATTGGATCTGTGCTACAAGGGGACCTTGCTTCCGCGTCTTCTAATATCTTTTTCTGTTTTTGATACTACAGATCAGCATAATGACTCTCAGAATGTTTGAGCACCTTTTGCAAAAACCCGATGAACACATTCTTTATAATTTGGTTCTTAGAAATTTAGAGGAGAGGAACTATATGGAATATAAACCACCCTGCCAAGAAGATAAGGATGTGGTAGAGAATGGCCAGATAGCAGGAGCTGTGTACGTTTTCTTTTTGTCTGTTTGTCATTTCACACTGAAATGTTCTTAATATCTTTCGGTTGTTCTAATCCTAAAGAAAGATCATTTTTAAGGCAAGGTATTTTTATTTTATATTGCTGAAATAGTTGAATCTATAGTTACTATTTTGGCTGTTTTCAAAGAAATAGCCATGCTAGTCTGTCACAGTGTAAAGACAGAGAAAGAGGAGCCTAACAGTATCTTTAAGATTGACTTATCTATTTGAGCCTGCAGTTTCATGGATATCTGTCCACATTTTCAGATGTTTTGATAGAGTGATGTTAAAGCCACAAGTTTTCAAGTATATACTGGCAGCCAGATAGAATGTAATAGTATTCAGAAAGATGCAAATTGTGACCCAGCCTATAATTTTTTAAAGAGCTGTGTGAGATAATACAGGTAGATAATAGCAGTATCACAAAATTTCATGGTAAAATAATAACCATATACTTGAGTATAAGCCGACCCAAATACAAGCTGAGGCACCTAATCTTACCACAAAAAAAATAGGAAAACATATTGACCCAAGTATAAGCTAAGGGTGAGAAATGTAGCTGGTAAATTTCAAAATAAAAATAGATACCAATAAAATTACATTACTTGAGGCATCAGTAGGTTAAATATTTTGAAAATTTACATAAAATCGTAATTTAAGATAAGACTGCCCAACTCCGATTAAACCATTACTCTAACCTCCTTCAATGGAAATGTGCTTACATATCCTTCCAATAATAGTAAAGAGAGTAAAATAATGGAAATGTAATAATAACAGTAATAATAGAGTAAAATAATAATAATAACATAAAATAATATATGTTATAATAGAATAAAATAAGGTCAATGTAATAATAATAATAATAATAATAATAATGAGTAAAATAGTAATAATAGTAATAATAATAATAATAATAATAATAATAATTAGTGTTGACTCAAACATAAGCCGAGAGGGGCTTTTTCAGCATTAAAAAAGGGCTGAAAAACTTGGCTTATACTCAGGTATAAATGGTAAGTAAGCCATAAAGATATCTTTTCACCATTTCTCTTTTTATTTTAGGTTGTATACCGGTTTACATAATTCATAGTTCATAATAGACATAATTCAGCACATTCATAACCTGTAAATAAATTACTAGGCCATTAAACAAAAAACACAACTCCTTGGTTATAAACTATCAGTAATGTGATGTATTATGTTAAAATGAGTGTTTACATCATATTTGTATATCTTCATTTATAAAGAGTGCACATATCCCCTTCGATGTATCTTAAGTTGCAGTTCTGAATGTACTTACTCAGAAATAAGGTTGATTGTATACAGGGGTTGTATCTATCACTTGTGTAGAACTGTATCAGTTTAGTACTAAGGGCTATATGTCTCTGTGCTTGCCGTAATTGAATAATTAGTTCAATCTAGGACTATAAGAAACTGCTTTTAACCAAGTAAAACCATTATTCTGTCTAGCTCAAGATCAGTTAAAGGAACAGATGATGATGATGAATTTTATTTATAGCCTGCCCTTTTCCCAACCCTGGATCGCAATACGTCAGGGCTAGGAAACTGTTTTTATCCCAAGAACTATATTCCTCCTTCCAGACGAACATGGCAAGCCAAATGAGATCAGGGAATGGGACACAGACCTTCAAGGCTCTTCCCTGAATCCTTTGCCCCTTCCCAATGCTCATTTTCTGCTTCTCTGTTTACAGAAAGACAAAAGAGTCTATTTCTCTCTCTGCACAAATAAATTCCCTTAGCATCCCTCTCACTGTGCAATCAGATATCAAGAAATACACAAAGGAAATATTAGTATTATATCTAGTCACTTGTTCTTATTTTCTTACACATTCACAGAGATCTGGAAGAGGATCCCTTATTTACTGATCTTTCTCCCAATACTATGTTGTCAAACCAAGAGTGGCTTAGTGCGTCACCATCTGCCAGTCCAGACCATTCAAAAAATGATGGGAAGACTGAAGTTCATAAAATTGTAAATAGGTAAGTTGAATAGTAAGTCCACTTTCCACATAACGGCAATTAATAACATTTATAATTATTTTTGTGCATATTGGTTATGCAGTGATTCCAGCCACCCGTCGTAAGAAAGATTGCATAGGCGATAAAATAACTTCACCCTTTTACACTCATTGAAATGTCTATCATTTCAATTTCCAATGAGTTAAACTCTGAAGATATAAATGAGAGCAGATTATATTTTAACTTTTCTCTCCAAAGAAAACTGAAACTACTGTCTTGTATATGGGAGAAACCATTTCTACATGTAATGGGATAGAAAAAGAAGGAAGGTTGCCAAGGGAAATACTAGAGAAAAAATGTTTGTGTTCTCAATTGTTTATTAGAAACTACAAAACAGAAAATGTGTAGCAAGATGAATGCCACTAGGTGGAGATGCTTTTCCGAGAGTAGTTAATGTGACAGATCAATTCAGATTTGTGCCCACATTTTTTCTTGGTTTGTTGTTTAAAAAAACAAACATAATTGATTTTTTGAAAGATTTATAGAACTCCCATATTTTATGCAGAGCAAAAACAAGCAAACAAATCAAGCAAAAGGGGGAATACCTATTCTCTGACATACATTTTCCCCCTAGAATGGAAAACTGTGTTCTGTTTACTCAAGTACAGTATTATTAGCTTTAGTAACTTATCAGAAAGTGAAGCATTATTATGCAGGCCTTTTCAAACAGAAAACATAGATTAGGTACAAACACAGAATTTGTAGATATACACTGAAGTAATTCCCACATAAAATCTTGTTTGACTTACCCCTTATTATAATGGTTTAGGAACAAATTATATTGACTTGCTTCTCTTTTCAGTTTTCTTTGTCTTGTACCAGATGAAGCCAAATCTTCCTACCACGTGGAGGGCACAGGTTACGATACCTACCTCAGAGATGCCCATCGACAAGTAAGTGAGAAAAGGAAAATGCTGTTTGGTAGTGGACTCACCTCATATAAAGAAAAGAGCGGTAGATAAAGCAGGATAATTTTGCAAATAGACAAAATATATTTGTTTAGACCAGGAGTGGAAATTATGGGGCACTCCAGATGATGTCGGGCTGCACTTCCTAACAGCCCAAGTGAGCATACCCAGTGATGAGGAATGCTGGAGGTTGCATCTTGAACTTTTCTCACAGCCCTTTCCATATAACAGAACTTCAGTGTCCTTTGTGTTTTCTCTCTATCAGCTTATCTCGTATTCAGGTGTTGAGGAACAGAATATGCAGTTTCTGTTTTCTTTCTTATTCTAAGGATGCAATGTTAGTTCTTCAGTTCTGTGGAAAGGTGAGAGCCACCACATATGTGCTAGCTATACCCATGTCCTTCTAGACCAGTGGTTCTCAGCCTGTGGGTCCCTAGGTGTTTTGGCCTACAACTCCCATAAATCCCAGTTTACCAGCTGTTAGGCCAAAACATCTGGGGACCTACGTATTGAAAACGACTAGACTTAAAGAACAGGCCAGTGAGGGAGTGGCTGGTAGATGAAGGCAGCACACCAAAAGAGTCAGTTTGTAAGTCCTTTGTTGAAAAAGGCATCCCTACATCCCTTTAGAATGGATAATGATCAGTCTTTTTGAGCAAGGTATTAGAGTGTGTGGTGGCCTCCCAACTCCAGAGATTTCTGGATGAAATAATAATAATAATAATAATAATAATAATAATAATAATAGTACCTCCCTAAAGGGACTGAGGGCTGCTCACAGAAAGCACTCAATAGTACAACAATATACAAATACAACAAAATTCAAAAAGATAAAAAGTAATAATAATAAAATTAACCCAACAATTTTACTTAAAACAACATATAAAACCCCAATTAATTTAAAATATATTATAAAACCCAGCAGGCTGCAAATATTGTGACTGTATACAATATCAGCCCCCATAAAGTACAGAAGTGAAGCAAATAACTAAGTCCTCGATATATTTCTGATACATTTCAGTCTGATCTATAGGACAGAGACGGCTGTAGTCACCTTGCTGGATGACCTAGGCAGGGAACTGGATAAAGGGAGAGTCCTCGCTGAGATGGGACTTGGAGGTATTGTTTTACATGGCCCTGTTCCTTTCCAGACATGCAAATCCAGAAGGTGATACTGGGAGACTCCTATTCGGCCATTAAAACAGGGGGTGGGGGGTAGAGTCCTCAGAGCTCTGTTTTGTTCTTCCTGCTATTTAACATAGAAATGAGACTGCTGAAAGAGATTGCCCAGCATTTTGGGATAGTAAAGGTAAAGATTTTCCCCTGATATTAAGTCAAGTTGTGTCTGACTTTTGGGTTAGTGCTCATCTCCATTTCTAAGTCAGCTTTGTCTGTAGACAGCTCCAAGGTCATGTGGCCAGCATGACTGCATGGGGCGCCGTGACCTTCTCGCCTATTGATCTCACATTTGCATGTTTTTGAACTGCTAGAATGGCAGAAGCTGGGGCTAACAGCGGGAGCTCACACTGTTCCCCGGATTCAAACCTGCAACCTTTTGGTTGGCAAATTCAGCAGCTCAGCGCTTTAACCCACTGCGCCTCCAGGTGCTCCCATTAATATGTGGATCGCACCTAACTCTACTATTGTTGCTGGTTCCCTTTTTGGAACGTATGTTTTCAATAGACAAAACTAGAAGTGGAGAAAATAATTAACGGAATAATAAAATGAAATAGTTGGATTTTGTATAGGTCTTAATATTCTTTTTCAGGAGCTTTAAACAAATAACACTGGGCAACGCATACTGTATTTTGGTGCCTCAAATGTTCACCCTTTTTCTGGGTATATTTGACCTGCTGATTCCAAAAATGACACCAGTTTTCTCCTACCAGCTCTAGTTTTTTAGAATATATGTCATCTATCAGTCGCCATCTGCTTGCCCAAAGAAAATCATAACCATATCTAATAAATAGCACTAATGCGGGCTGCCCAGTGCGATTATTTGAGTCAGCATCCCAGACAACCCCTGGAAGAGGCCTAAAAACCAAGGCACCAAGAAAAAAAATTGTTGGGCTGTGTAATTTTGCATGCCCTTATTTTTTGTTTTTTAAGAGACAGACTGTAGTAGTTTATTTTGGAGACCATTATGAGCACTTAACTCTGGAAATTAGCTAGTTCACAGGAAATAATTATATCACAAGTAATATAGTTTTGCTATTTACTGTGCTCTAAATGACTGTGTAGTAATGTTTTAATGCCATTCAGTACTGCTTCTTTAGTCTGCCTTATATTTATCTGCTTTCTCTTACTTGGCATGTTCTTTGACCGAGGCAAGTCACTGTGGAAAAGCTATAGCTGTTAACATAGCCATGGGGTTTTTTTTTATAAAAAAAAGTAAGACCATAGCACAAGTAATGTGCAGCCCCAGGCATGCCGTTCTGAAGTGGGTAATACTTTTGGGGAAAGTGAAATATAATGCTCCTATTCTGAAACCACAAATGGATTTCTCTTTCTCCTTGATCTGAGGACAAACAGAACTTGATTGCATCCTTGTACATATCTTGTGAATTATCATCAGAGTGCTTTGGGTGTATGTAATGGAATGAAAGATGGGCAAGGAAACAGAGTAACAGCTACATAGAGATGCAGAGTGATAATTTTCAAGATGTCGTGCTCCCAGAAACAAATCCAATATGTATCCAGTCAAGTAGAAAATATTTCTTTTCTGCTCTCAGTTTCACATATTTTGTTTCTCCAGATTTCCCAGATGTGATTTAAAAAGGGGAGATAAGGGAAGTCGGATATGAAAGATTTGCATAGTGTTCCATACCTGAAAGCAGAAAAGCATTTAGTTTTCTTGCCAGTGCTTCCACTGAATTAAGATACTAGATACCATCAGACCTGGAGAGTGCTAATATTCTGATGATTCTAGCATATGTCTGTCTGAGCAGAATTGAAATACGTTGCTATTTTTCAATAGATATGTCCCCCAAAGATGCAAAAGAACACAACATTTGAAAGAACCTCTTTTTGGTGCAGCCTGAACCCCACAAAGGTTTCACAGGTGGCGTTAGAAGCAACACATAATAGCTTGTGGGGACACATATGTATTGGTTCCAGTGGATTGACTCAGGCATAATGCCAAATAATAGTTTGATGCTACATGAATGAGCCTTCTGTTATTAAAAAAAAATCCTTTCATCTTAGACGCAAGCAGTAATTGCCATTTTCTCTGAAGTGACAATCCAAGACTTCTGCTTACCCTGAAAAATAGGATCACATTGTTCCTCCTTTGGTCATATAGTTCCAATATGATTCTAATTTGAACCATGTAGATCAGTGGTTCCCAACCTGTGGTCGGTGGATCACCAGTGGTCTGCAAGAACTAAAATATGGCATGCGGACTCACCGTTACTACATTGTTGCAACAAGAGCAACTGGTCTTGTGAAACCCTCTTATGGTGCCGAGGCTTATTAAATACGATTTTCTGTGGGCGAGCCAATGGCGACTACTGGATTGTAAGCTCACAGCAGCCGCTCCCAGAAAAGACACAGGACGCCAATCCGTAATCAATCAGGAAACCTTTACTACTGGAAATGCATACACAACGAAAGCCAGGATTGGCATGCAGCCGCAAGTCAACCCCTTTTATACCCTCCCTCACAATTGAATTCCCCTTTCCCGCCAGCCGAGGATCCCGCCAATATTCCCCGCCAACTATCAACTGCTTTCCCTCAAGGCCACCAGCTGCACATCCTTATCAGCCCTCCAAGTCAGGACGGGGGTTTTTTGCGCCAATGTCCGAGGCCAGGAAACCGAGTCCTGACATGACGTCCCCCTCCTCCTCCTCTTCTTCCTGGAAGGGAAATACACGTCACCATTACATTCCTTCTATATCTAGTGGGCCTTGGTATTTTTTCAACAAGCTACAATGGAACGTGGGGTGTATCTTTCCTAAAACCTTTGGTAATTTCAACGTGTATGTTACATCATTTATTTTGTTGGAAATTCTAAAGGGACCAATGTATTTAGGAGACAATTTCCTGGAGGGTCCACTCAACTTAAGATTTCTGGTGCTCAACCACACCAATTCCCCTTCTTCCAACTTGTCTCCCTCCCTCCTTTTCCTGTCCGCAAACAATTTGTATTTTCGTTGAGCTTCTCTAAGTGATTTCGCTACTTCCTCCCAATTCGCCTTCACCTTGTCTGGCCACCCTTCCTCCCCCCACGGTTCCTCCTCCCAACTTGGCAATTTTGGGAATGGGGTGACTTCCATTCCGTATACTATTTCAAAAGGGGACTTTCCTGTGGATGCGTGACATGCTCCATTGTATGCGATTTCTGCAAATGGGAGCAAATCTGCCCAATTGTTTTGGCAATGGTTTGTATATGTCCTTAGGAATAACCCCAATGTCTGTTGTGCGCGCTCAACCCCCCCATTGGTCATGGGATGGAACGCTGAACTCAGGGTCCTTTCTACCCCCATCAACTGCATGAACCTCTCCCAGAATCGTGCCGCAAATTGTACCCCTCGATCGCTGATCACCTGGTCAGGACAGCCATGTAATCGATAGACATGTTTGATAAACAGCTCCGCTAACTTTTCTGCGGATGGTAACTTCGGCAGCGCTATGAAATGTGCCTGCTTCGAGAACAGGTCCATCACTGTCCAAACGTAGCGCTGACCTCGGCTATTGGGGAGCTCGCCCACAAAATCCATGGCAATTACCCTCCAAGGTTTCGAGGGTTCTGCCACCCTCTGTAACAATCCCGTTGGTTTACGTGTGGTTGCCTTATTTTGCGCACATGCATTACATTGGGATATGTACAATTTTGTGTCACTCCTCATCCTGGGCCACCAACATTGGCGTGCCAGTGACTTCAGGGTTTTCGTGACCCCCCAGTGTCCTGCCCCCTTGCCGCCATGGCACCTGACCATCATTTTTCTTCGTAGGTTGATTGGGATGTACAACTTTTTGTTTACAAATCCCAATCTGTCCTTCCATTCCATCTTTTCCTTATTTCTTTCCACCCACTTGTCCTCCTGGCACGCCTGCCTTATCTCCTCCTCCCATCCCCCATCCTTGCTCTCAACTCCCACTAGCCTTTGGCTGCGCTCCGTTTGCGCTCGGGTTTGTACTGCCATGCCCCACTGTTGCTCTGAGAATATGCTCCCCTTTGGGCCTTGCCCCCTCCCTCCATTCTCCGGCATTCTTGACAACGTGTCCGCGACTACGTTTTGTTTCCCCTTATGAAATCGCAGCTTAAAATCAAATCGGCTGAAATACTGCCCCCATCTTATTTGCTTTGCTGACAACTGTCTGGGTGAAGTGAGATACTGCAAGTTTTTATGGTCGGTCCACACCTCAAAAGGTATGCCGCTTCCCTCTAATAAATGTCTCCATGTTTCCAGAGCCCTTAAGATGGATAGAGCCTCCTTTTCCCATACTGGCCAGTTCCGTTCAGTTTCGCTGAACTTTTTTGAGATGAACCCGCAGGGTTTCAACCTCGCTTCCGGATCCCTTTGCATCAATGCTGCCCCATAAGCCCAATCCGATGCGTCACAGTGGATCACGAATGGCTTGGTTAAATCGGGGTGGATTAGCATCGGTTCCTCAGTGAATCTGCGTTTCAGTTCTTCAAATGCCCTTTGGCACTCCGTTGACCAATTTAATTTTGCCCCCGGGGACCGTACCTTTACTGTCTCCCCCTTTCCCTTAGTTTTCAGCAGTTCAGTTAGGGGCAGAGTCACCTGGGCAAAGTTCTCTATGAACCCCCGATAAAAGTTGGCAAATCCCAGGAACGACTGCAATTGCTTGCGTGTTTGTGGGGGTCCCCACCCCCTGACATCCTCCACCTTTGAGGGATCCATTGCTATCCCGCCCTGGGAGATTCGGTACCCCAAGAAGTCTATTTGTTCCCTATTGAATTTGCATTTCGTTAACTTAGCAAACAGCTTTGCTTCCCTCAACTTCTGGAGTACCTCCCTCACCAACCTGACATGAGATCGCTTATCACGGCTAAAAATAATTACGTCATCCACAAAACAATACACTCCGCGATACAGTAATGGGTGCAACACCTCATTAATCATTTGCATAAATGCTGATCCAGACCCTTTTAGCCCAAAAGGGCAGACGGAATATTCGTAGTGCCCTAACGCACAGGTGAAAGCCGTTTTCCATCTGTCCTCTGGCCGTATCCGCAACTTATGATAGGCTTCAATTAAGTCAATTTTCGTGAACACCCTTGCTTCCGATAGTCTCGATAGTAAGTCCTTGGTTAGCGGCATTGGGTAATTGTTGGTCGTGCTCACTGCATTCAGTCCTCTATAGTCCACGCACAACCTCAATGAGCCGTCCTTCTTGTGCCTAAACAGCACTGGGGGCCCCAGCGGGGATTCAGAGGGTGTTATAAATCCCCGGGCTAAGTTTTTATCAATATATTTCCTCAGTTCCTCCATTTCCTTAGCCGACATGGGATATAATCTACTCCTGGGTAATTTAGCATTCTCATTAAGTTCTATTTTCACTTCAACCCGTCTTGGGGGAGGAAGCTGATCCGCCTCCTTTTCGTCAAATACATCCTCAAAGTCTCTATACTCGGGTGGGATCTCCTGCACCCCGCCTGTCGTGCCTTCCTCCCCCTTACAGCATTTCCCCTCCTCCTTGCTATGGAAGCTTATGCTGCCCTTCCTCCAATTGATTTGTGGGTTTGCTTCCCTTAACCACGGCATCCCCAGTATCACATTGTAAGTTGCTATAGGGGATACTACAAAGGTGATGTTGCCTTCCCAGTCCCCTACTTTGCATTTCACCTCCCCCACTTCAAATCGCGCCGGGGCTCCGGTTGCCACTGAGCCATCCAGCTGCGAAAACGCTATAGGGGCCGGCAAGGCTGCCTTTTCACAGTTCAGTTCATCTGCCAGTTCTGGGGTTATAATGTTCCTTGAACAGCCGCAATCCATGAGGGCTTTGCAGCTGGCCCACTTCCCTTCCCCTTCTAGCCTGATCGGGAACATCAACATTCCTGGGCTATGACTCACCAGCTCTCTCTCTGGGGCCCTATGAAGGATGCTCTCTTCCGCTCTCTTCCCTGCGGCCGGTTTAAACCTTGGGGTAGGGGGATCCCCCCCTTTCCTTTGCCTGCAACCGGCTGCCCGATGGCCAAGGCGACCGCATACAAAACAACCGCCCTTCTGCTCCTTGGATCCTCCAGTGGCCCCCTTCCCGATCGTGCTTCTCTCCGTCCTCCGATTCTCCTCCTTGGGCCTCGCCTGCTGCATCGCCGCCCCTTGATGCCTCTTGATCTGAGCCAAGGTCGTCTCGACGCGGCCAGCCAGCTCAATCCATCCTCCTATCTCCTCCGGATCGTTGCGATGAAGTGCCCAGGTCAAAATTTCTTTCCGCAGGCCCTTTTTGAATATCTGGGTCTTGGTGGTATTGGACCACTCTGGCACTTTCTCCGCCCTCGATTGGAATTCTTCCACGTACTCGGACACGGAGCGATGGCCTTGGGTTATCGTCTGCAGCCCTTCTCTCGCCCGGACCTCTCAAGCGGGTCCCTGAAGCGTGCCTCCATCGCAGCCAGGAATCGTCTCGTGGATCCCAAACATGGGTCATGCCTGGCGTGGAGCTGGACATACCACTCCGCTGCTCCTTTCCTCAGTGCTGCGCCCACTGCCCGCACTCTGCTTGCCTCCGACCCGAAGGTGAGAGCGTTGTCCTCTAGATATCCCCTCACCATGGTTAGGAAGTACTCGAGGTTCTCGGCTTCCCCTCCGAATTCGATCCTCAGCTCCTCCCTTCTGGGTTGGTAAAGAAGGGGTTGCCTCTCCATCCTCTCCGCCCGGGGTGGCCCTCCCTGGAGCCCACGCTGCTCCGGGGGCAATCCTTGCTGTCCTGTGCCACGCCCGACCCCGGCCGGGGGCACCAGGAACGTCTGCTGGGACGCCGACGCCAGTCCCCTGGGTCGTCCCTCCTCCTCGTCACTCTCCGCAGCGGTTCTCCAACTCGCCTGTGTTTTTGGACGTGCCCCGGGTCCCCGGTCACTCCTCTCCTCCGCACTCCACATTGATTCCCCTCGTGGTTGTGGTTCCTCTAACAATGGGGCCAGCCTCTCCATTACTCTCGACATCATCGCGAGGGTGGTTTCCATAGATGCCAACTTCTCCTCCAAGTAATCCAACCTCTGCGGGGAGGGGAAGTCTAGCCCGCTGCTTTCTCTCGCTGCTGCCTCTGCCCCCTTCACTCTCCTCTGGGTGACTCCGTTGGGCTGGGCATACGCAGTCGACGAGGCCAAGGCATTCACTCTCTCCAGCTCCTCTTCTGCATTCTCAAAAGGGGAGCCTGGTTCTCCCCCCTCCGTTGGTTCATCTTCTTGTTGCATGGGGGTGCCTCACCACAGCCGTGGGATGGCACAACAAATCCTGGCTTAATGTAAGCTCACAGCAGCCGCTCCCAGAAAAGACACAGGACGCCAATCTGTAATCAATCAGGAAACCTTTACTACTGGAAATGCATACACAACGAAAGCCAGGATTGGCATGCAGCCGCAAGTCAACCCCTTTTATACCCTCCCTCACAATTGAATTCCCCTTTCCCGCCAGCCGAGGATCCCGCCAATATTCCCCGCCAACTATCAACTGCTTTCCCTCAAGGCCACCAGCTGCACATCCTTATCAGCCCTCCAAGTCAGGACGGGGGTTTTTTGCGCCAATGTCCGAGGCCAGGAAACCGAGTCCTGACACTGGATAGCATATGCTCTGTATCAGAAACTAGAGCTGATGTTGACTATCCAATGCAGTTTTCTGAATCAGCACCCCAAATAACCAAACTGAATCTAAAGTTGACTAAAAACTGATTTGTAACCCTTTTGATACTAATGTTGGAGAGTGGTCCCTGGTCAAAGTGGTCCCTGGTCCAAACAAGGAAACCACTGGTGTAGACAATCATATGGTAGTGATAGCCATATAGTTTGGTAATGTGGTAATTAACATCCTCGTTATCACATTCTCAAATAGTCAATATTTTTAAAATAGAAAGATTTTCTCCAAAACGGTCAGAGGAGCATACAAGGCATACCCATTTAATCCTCCATTTTCACTTCCTTCAGCAGTGTTAGGATCACTTTGTCTTTTGGGAGATAACATCCCTTGCACAATTGAAGTGTGCAAAGGATAGAAAAATGTGTGGAATAACTGTCATTCAGCCCATAACCAGTGAAGATAGTATCTATGTAAATGTGAATGGTATTGTTTTTTTGAAAAAATGCCAGTGAATAAAACAGGACATACACTGCAAACTGTTTATCAGATTCTGAAGCTAATTTCCCTGCCGAACTCTAAACAGATAATTTCTACCAATCTTTATTTTATTGATTATCCATTATCCTGTGCAGTGGTGGTGGAAGTGTGGAGGGATGGGTGTATTGTTTTGTGATGTGTGCTGGGGAAAGAATTTAATTACATTGTACTATGTACAAAGACAATAAAGCTATTATATTCTATTCTATTAAACTAAGATTTAGTCCATCTTTCCTAAATGAGTTTCTAAAGCAGTTTTTCCCCCTGCTTCCTCTAGTTTCGAGACTATTGTGCCATATGCTTACGATGGGAATGGCCAGGCTCTCCTAAACCTCTGGAAAAGTGCAATTTAGAATCTGCGTTCTTTGAAGGATATTTTCTGAAAGTTCTCTTTGATAGAATGGGAAGAATTCTGGATCAAGTAAGTGTGCACTTCTTGATGATTTACCTTCTGACATGATTGGTTTCTGATGATTTTATCATTCTTTCTGGAAATCAGGAAGATGGCTGTGTGCTGACCAGCCTCTTCAAGAAAAAGGAGTCATTTCTAAATGTCTGTAGGACATTGTAGATATAAAAAAAACACATTAACAAGAGCTGCTGTGAGTCTCTTTTTAGAGAGAGAACTGGGACACAAATAATCATAATAATAACAACATAAAGAACTCACCTGCTTCCTCAAATGGGAAAGCACATTACTGCATATGTCACTGAAGTGAAGACAGAGAGTATTCATAAATGCATGGAACAGTATGTCTCTTAATTCTCCTCAACCTATCCTAACATTCAATGTGTTGCTTTCATGACCAGAATTACTGGGTTGCTGTTAGTTTTCCAGGCTGTATGGCCATGTTCCAGAAGCATTCTCTTCTGACGTTGGGCCCACATCTTTGGCAGGCATCCTCAGAGGTTGTGAGGTCTGCTGGAAACTAAAACAATGAGGTTTATATATCTGTGGAATGTCCTAGGTGGGAGAAAGAACTCTTGTCTGTTTGAGGCAAGTATGAATGTTGCAATTGGCCACCTTGATTAGCATTGAATGGACTTTCAGCTTCAAAGCCTGGCTTGTTCCTGCCTGGGATATCCTTTGTTGGGAGGTGTTAGCTGGCCCTGTATGTTTCATGCCTGGAATTCATGCTTCTAACAACCACTATGTCAGACTACACAGAGAAGCCATTGAAATCCACAAGCATGTGAACAATTTCAACAGAAAGGAGGAAACCATTAAAATAAACAAAATCTGGCTACCAGTATTAAAAAACTCTAAAATCAAGACAGTAAATAAAGAGGAACACCCAGAAAACAGGGGAATTCCAGGCATAAAACATTCAGGACCAGCTAAGACCTCCCAACAAAGGATTCTCCCAGGCAGGAAGCAGCCAGTCTTTGAAGCAGAAAGGTCATTCAGTGCGAATCAGGGTGGCCAGTTGCAACATTCACACTTGCCTCAAGCAGATAAGAGTTTTTTCTCCCACCTTGGACATTCCACAGATAATACACAAACTCCACTTGCCTGGTTTCCAACAGATCTCACAACCTCTGAGGATGTCTGTCATAGATGTGGGTGAAACGTCAGGAGAGAATGCTTCTGGAACATGGACATACAGCCCAGAAAACTCACAGCAACCCACTATCCTAATGTTATTGAGGGAAAATGGAAATGGAGATCGAATTGATTTTCACCCAACGTAATATTTATTTACTTTATTTACTATATTTGTATACCGCTCTTCTCAGCCCTTAGGCGGCTCATAATAATAATAATAATAATAATAATAATAATAATCCTTACATGACAAATTTGACATGTTTGTTACAAACAATAGTCTATATACAGTATGACCCTTTTATCCACGGATTTGAGATCCACAAATTCAATATCCATGGTTTGACTTACCTATGCTTCAAAAATATTATCTTCCAGAAGTGTTTGTGGGCTTCTCTAGGTCCTCCAATGTGATTGTGTGGTATAACTGCTACCCTAGCATAGTCCAACTATTACCCACAGTTTAAGATCTTTTGATGCTTGTTTATTATTGTTACGTTGTTTTATGCTCTTTTATGCTGTTTTAATTTGTTATTGTTTTGTTTTTAATTGTATTTTGCCTTGGGCTTGGCCCCATGTAAGCTGCCCCGAGACCCTTCGGGGAGATGGAGGCGGGGTAGAAAAATAAAGATCTATATACCATATATACTCTAGTATAAGCTGACATGAATATAAGCCGAGGCACCTAATTTTACCACAAAAACTGGTAAAATGTATTGACTTGAGTATAAGCAAAGGGTGAGAAATACAGCAGCTACTGGTAAATTTCAAAATAAAAATAGATACCAATAAAACTACATTAATTGAGACATCAGTGGGTTAAATGTTTTGGAATATTTACATAAAACTGTAATTTAAGATAAGACTGTCCAACTCAGATAAGTCATTATTCTAACCTTCAATGTAAATGTTCTTAAATGTATAAATGTCCTTCCAATGATAATGTAAAAAGTAAAATAATAAACGTAATAAAAAATAATAAATAGAGTAATAATAATAATAGAGTAAAATAATTCAAATGTAATAATAAATAGAGTAAAATAATAAATGTAATAATAATAACAACAGAGTAAAATAATAAATAACTTATTAAAATAAATAAATAAAATAACAAATAAGCCGGGGGGGGGGGCTTTTTCAGCCTAAAAAGGGGGCTGAAAACTCAGTTTATAGTCAAGGATATATATGGTATTTTCATCTGAGTATTTTCACGTGGAGCTCTTTGCTGCCCAACTCTCTTCATGTATTTCTGAATGTTAGCAGGAAAGTGTAAATCTGAAGTGGTCTCTATTAAACCTGCAATCTGCACATGCCTCATTTAAAATGAATATTGGATTTGAGTCTTAAACCTGCATCTCAACAGCTTTAGGAATACTAATCTTCATACATATGGAAATCTGATCCCAATGATGATGCCCAAATCATCAAAAAGGAAAATAAGCATAAACTCTTACCTGAAGACTGTCAGCGGAAGAAGTATTTAGGAGGTTTTGCCAAAAAGAAAGAAAGAAAAAGAAAGAAAAGGCCTGTAGGTTATTGTGGCCCAGTGTCAATTTGATATAGTACCTGTCAAAATGACAAAAAATCTGGATCAGTCAAGCATGCTGCAGTTCTCTCTCTTGTGTCAAGGGCAATACTTGATGCACAGAGAAATCAAATATGCAGCAAGAAGGGAAAAATCGCTAAACCTCTCTCCCAGCCCCCATGTATTAACTCTGAGCCAAAATGATTTAGGGGATAAATTGCTCTAAAATACTAATGCAAGTCAGAAATGGAAAACTGTTGGTCCAGTCCATTCAGATTAAAATGACAACCTTGATACCATTGTTAGCTTAAAGAGAATGCCACATGAAGACTTTGGTGGTATAGTCTTGCAATCATAAGGCCACTAATCTTTGTGCAGATTTTTAGTAGTGCTGTCACTGGACTCCCACAGTGGGTGACCACAAGTGGGAGATAAAGGATGGAGCCCTTATATAAAGAGTGAAAATCCCCAAGCCTCCAAATCTGTACAGATTACTTTCTGAGAACAGAAAACCAGGTACTTCTTAAGCTTAAGACTTAGGTGTAATAGGAGAATACTAAATTCTCTCGTTAATCCTTTCAGATTTCCTTTTCCTTTCCTTGAAAATGCTTCAGTTTTGTTAGGCTAGAAATTGCTTCATTTAACTCTAGATTTATTTATGTATTGCTGTTCTTGCAATCAATGGGCAAGTGGTGACCAGAAAGCAATTAAAAAGCTATTACTTCTAATGCAGAAAAAAAAGACTGACATAACAGCTCATTGCAGTGTCTTGAACTACCACGAGATGGCTCGGCCAGCTGCTTCATGTTGTTTGGTGAAAGATTGTGATATGAATGCATTTAAGGTCAACAGCTGATGGGATGAAGGAAAACAGGATCTTCAGCATTTTATTTTCCATTTTGATAAAAAAAAAAAGATGTGGAGGTTAGGTGGGCATGTTACGGCCATGCTGCATTTTTTACACAATTGCATAATTTTCATGATTGAAATCTCACATGTATGTTCATAGAAATAACCCTGCAGTTTTGCCATCATGTTTACCAGCCGGCCTTCTCGGTGGCTGCCCCTCAACTCTAGAACTTCCTGCCCAGGCCCCCCTGTCTTTCCGGCGTCAGGCCAAAACTTTTTTTATTTAGACAGGCTTTTAAAGATGAAGATTCTGAGCAATTCATCTAAAGCAGGGTAAAATAATAATAATAATAATAATAATAATAATAATAATAACAACAACAACAACCATCTGCCAGCTGCAGAAGGCCACCTTACTGGGATCTGCATGCATTATTCGCCGATACATCACACAGTCCTAGACACTTGGGATCCAATACAATAGCCAGCAGAGTGATCTTGTCTGCTGTGGACTCATCTTGTTGTGTTTCAAATAATAATAATTTAACTGATAAATCATACATCACACACTCCTAGATGCTTGGGAAGTGTTCGACTTGTGATTTTGTGATATGAAATCCAGCATATATATCTCATTTGCTGTGACATACTGTGTGTTTGTGTCAGTAAAATAATTTAACTGACATGTTTTGAATTTGGTTTGGTTTTTTTTGCTAACACTTAAGGCCTCCTTCTTTATTCAATGAGATGGTGATATGTTTTAATATGTATATTTATAGAATTTTACAATGTTTATGTGTTTTAATTATGCTGTATCCTGCCTCAAACCATGAGGAGTGACGGATAAGAAATATAATAATAATAAATATTATTATTAATAACATTATATGAGAGACCCATCCACGCTTCTCCACTGCCATTTAAATATTCATCCCTTGGGTTGTATGAAAAAAAGTGTTCTATGTTGCTTTTGTGTATTGTTGGCAATGTGGGATGGTACTATTTAACCCAGTGGTTCCCAACCTTTTTTTGGTCCAGGGACCACTTGAACAGGGACCACTTTGACAAGGGACCACTCTCCAACAGTAGTACCAAAAGGGTTATGAATCAGTTTTTCGCCAACTTTAGATTCAGTTTGGTTATTTGGGGTACTGTTTCAGAAAAATGCATTGAATAGACCATATCAGCTCTAGTTTCTGATACAGAACATATGCTATCCAGTAGTCTCCAACAGTTCATCCATAGAAAACCAGATTTAATAAGCCTTGGCAGTATTAAGAGGGTTTTGCGAGACCAGTCACTCTTGTTGCAATGCTGTAATAACAGTGAGGCCGCGGACCATATTTTAGTTCTTATGGACCACTGGTGGTCCATGGACAACAAGTTGGGAACCACCGATTTAACTGGATTGGATAGGTGTGTGTGGAGGCGTAGGCTTTGACTTCCAATTACTCCCTCAAGGTTTGCCATGCCCATCTGTATGTGAAATACAACCAAAGACATTGTTTTGTGTACATGAGAGGGCTTTAACTTAGTCCTAGATCTGAACATGCCCACTGTTCTTGGCTGTTCTTGGCTTCTGGTTGATGCTTACTGATGTTCTTATGGTTTTATTATGTCTGTTGCTCTGTTTTATTGTTTTAATTATTGAAATGCAATGTATTTAATTGTGTAAGCCACCCCAAGTCCCTTCGGGGAGATGGGTGTGGGATATAAGAATAAAGTTGTTGTTGTTGTTGTTGTTGTTGTTGTTGTTGTTGTTAGCTTTTAAGCAATGCGAAAAGAGTCAGTGTGTGTCTTATGCCCAAGATTTAGGACGGTTTATTTGAGGTCACCAGGGAGAGAATAATGGAAACACAAAATGAGGAATCTTGTCTACTATGCTTGTCCACTTTCTTGTATATTACTTTATAGAATGCCTGAGGAGGGCTCTTGAAGCAGTCTAAAAAGAAACAAGAGCCTGCCTTGCTATCTTTGCTTTCACTTGAAGATTTTTTTTACATAAATTGCTTAGGATAAAAAAAGTCTCAAACAAATGTAACTGAAAATACAGCAATGGACTATCCTTATTTAATATCACGGGATGCGTCCATTGTGACTAGAGATTGTGTATTCAGAACTGTGCCTCTGCATCTGATGGTCATAATATATTACAATATTTTTTTGCTTTATGAAGTTTTTAATCTTCATTTGAAACCTGGGCAACTATTATAATGGGCGTTAACATCTGGGGAATGTTTTTTTGTTTTTGTTTTCTTCCCTCACAGCCGTATGATGTCAATCTACAAGTCACATCTGTGTTGTCCAAGCTCTCCTTATTTCCTCATCCGCACATCCATGAATACCTTTTGGATCCTTACATAAATCTGGCTTCTGGCTGCCGCTCTCTTTTTTCAGTAATTGTGAGGGTGAGTAAATAAAGGGCCATCCACTTGGAACAATGGCACAAAGTGATTGTTGTTTAACAATTCATACAACTCAAGACTATTTTTCTCTTTACTGGTGTCCCATTTTATTCATTTTACTTTAAAAAGTTTCTTATCTGCTAGTTGGGAACAAGAACTATGTAGAACCCCTCCAGAACTTAGTCCATGATGAGATTGAGGTCCTAAGTCGTAAATTCACAGTGAAGGCATATACATACCTACCCCCTTTCCGTTTTCTGTGCAGAAAGTCTCATTTTAAAAATGCATGCAATTTTAGTGTGTACACAGAATAACAAATTGTCTTTGGAATCTGCAAAGTTTTCAATTACTTTCTCACAGTGTGAGAAAATAATAATAATAAAATGAGTTTTTCTTGTCTGTGAGAATGAATTTATCATGATTTACATCCATAGTTAAGTGAGCGTAGGACTACAATCTAAGTTTTCTTCCCGTGCTATATTTTCCCCATACAATTACTGTCTCCTAGAAAAATATACCCTGCATATAGAAAACTACATGTACACTAGAGTATTGATGAAGGAAGTCATACATTGATGGGATATAAATCCAATAAAGAAAACAATACATGTTTAGCATTAGTAATAAATAAATGAGCCTTGGTTTGTATGTCTTTTTCTGATTAATCCTTCTGATTAACCAAGAGGAGAACCTTGGGAGCTTTTCCTTTTAGTTTCCTTTAAAGGTAGTGTCTTGTATCATCTGGAAAGCAATATGGTTAGTTTCCTCAAGACAGCTTGATAACACTTTGTTTCATGTTGAGGTTCACTTGTTTTTAAACAGATCCTAATTGATGATAAATCTCCTAAAATGACAACAGACATTTTATGAGAATCAAACAGAAAAGCTTCCGGCATCCTCCTTCCAGCTATTTAAAAGGAAGAGAAGACATGCATGGAGATACAAGGCTTTTGGCAGCTAGGTTGTGTAATATTAAGGGCTCTTCCAGACAGGCCTATATCCCAGAATCCAATCCCAGGTTTTCTGTTTTAACCCAGATTATATGAATCTCCACTGCCAGATAATCTGGGATAAACTGAAAACCTGGGATCATACCCTGGGATATAGGACCTGTCTGGAAGGGTCCTAAATTGTGATTGAGTGTCATGTTCAAGCATGTACCGGCTGTGCATCACTCTTTGAACCCATAGAGCAAGGTTATCAAACCCATTTTCACCGAAGCACATCAGCCTTATGGTTCTCTTCAAAGAGGCGCTGAATCTATGGTTGGAGAATCAGTGGATAAAGAGGACCTTTTTTTCTTAAATTTTAACTCAATAGGATCCCTAGTTGTTATTGAATGACAACTTCCATCACTTTTGATATCTGTCATATGAATTGGGGATAATGGGAATTTCAATCCAACAGCACTTGTGGCTCTGAGGTTGGGGAAATGTTAAATAATATTTTAATGCCAGGCATCTTAATCACAAGCCTTACATCTAAATGCAAACCTCATTCTCCTAACTAGACAGAACAAACTGCAGTCTCCTAGATGTTACTGTATCACAACTCCCATCAGTTCTAGCCATGATGTCTACTGATGAGGAATACGGGAATTGTGATCCGGTGTCTGGAGGGCACCTTAAATAACATGGCTGGCCAGATTTGGCCCACGGGCCTTGAGTTTAACACATGTGCCTCAGATACTCAGTTCCTTACACATATTTCATCCCCTGGTTTTATAAATAGATAGCACATTGACTAAGTTTCTTGAAGTGTTTAGACTATTTAATCCTGAGCCAGTGTTAAACAGTCTCAATGACTTGTGTTTGGCAGCTGATTACTGTGTTGTGTTCTAATTTAATAATAATAATAAGTTTATTTATATTCCACCCTTTCTCCCTGAGGGGACCCAGGGCAGATTGCAACAGAAGATAACAAATATTCAATGCCAGATCCAATACACAAATATATACAAAAACAATAGGTTGATCTAACATCTAACATAATAGACATTAAATGTAAATTATATAAACAGCACTTAACATTAATTTAAAATCATTATTAAAATATAATAAGGTAAATATTTCACCTTGACATTAAGTCTAGTTGTGTCTGACTCTGTGGGGGTGGTGCTCATCTCAATTTCTAAGCTGAAGAGCCAGTGTTGTCTGTAGACACCTCCAAGGTCATGTGGCCGGCCACATGACTGCATGGAGCTCCGTTACCTTCCCACCGGAGCAGTACCTATTGATCTACTCACATTTGCATGTTTTTGAACTTCTAGGTTGGCAGAAGCTGGGACTAACAGTGGGATTTCACCCAGCTCCCTGGATTCAAACTGCTGACCTTTTGGTCAACAAGTTCAGCAGCTCAGCAGTTTAACCTGCTGCACTACCAGGGAGGCCTATAAAATATAATACAGTCAATAATGCCAGTGGAGCAAGTGAGATCAGCAGGGTCAACTAAGCCAAAACCAACTAAGTCAGAGTATCCTGATGGATTAGGAACAGGTCAATTGAGTAATGTATACTTCTAATTTGTGCTTCATTTTACTCTGTCCTGTTGCCCACAATATGCAGGTTGTTGGGGATCTCATGGTGAGGATACAACGCATACCTGATTTCACACCAAAACTTCTACTGGTCAGGAAGCGTCTCCTTGGCTTAGAACCTGAAGGCCCTATGTAAGTACATGACTTGCCACAGTCTGTTAGGATATTGTTTCCAGATTGTTGTATGCGTCTTTCCATTAATTCCTCATCTTCTTTTCACAGCGTTGACCACATGACGTTACTTGAAGGTGTGATTGTATTAGAAGAATTTTGTAAAGAGCTGGCTGCCATTGCGTTTGTGAAGTACCATGCCTCGTCCACACCCTAAGTGTCCAAACTGTTCGATTGTCCCATGTTTCAAGCAGGGAGAAAAAAACCCAATGACTTTTCCTGGGCGAGAAAGTGAAAAGCAAATGTTGGCATACATTGGGAGGACTTACTGAGGATGCATTTAACTCGTCGTGCTTGTGTCTTAATTCATTGGTGATGACCACGTGGATAGAGAACATGGATGATTGATCCACAACACAATCAAGGCGAGATCAACATAACAGAAAACGCTTTAAAAGCTGTACACATCAGGACTTTAGTTCAAATTGTCTCTTATTTCAACAACATTCTGGGAGGTAGACATTTTTATTTACTCTAGAGTTCATAGGCTTTTAAAAGCTCATTTTAGTATCTCATATGAGGCACGTTGTATCCCTTTAAACAAAAGCCAGCAGGTTATTAAAGCCTTCTAAATTATTCAAAATAACATAGAAAAGAAATAAGAAGCTGCAAAGGCACACACAACTTCTTTCTTATTGTATGAGTCCATAATACATTATGTTCTTTCTCTTATTGGTGTATCTGCACTAAAGCAGACAATAAGTATACTCAAGTTGCTCTGTTTTATTTTTTGAATTCTTGTTTGTTCTCCCTTATTATGCTGCCTAACTTTATTTGCCTTCCGTATTGAATTGAAACTCTAGGTTATTTGATCCACATGTCCATATATGCAGATGTGACTGGAATTTTTAGATTCTCCAGTAATCAATTGGCTGAAAAGTATCTTGTGCCTTGACTTGAAGTTTTTATTGGTCTCCATTTTTACAATACTGTCGCTTAGCTCATTTGAATGGCTGTAACATCCACATCAAAAGATATCTGATATTTCTTATTGCTGATGCCACTTTTTAATAGTCTCAATTCAGGTTATATTTCTCAAGCCCTGGATTGCAAATTTTGGTCTTGTTTTCTACAGGATTTCCATTATAACAAGAAGAATATAACATTACTTTAGTTCACTGTTGTCAGGCATCACGCAGATTGGCCTAAAAGGGAAGCTAGAATAAATAAAGGTTGAGAGGCCTCACTTTGTGTTGCCGAAGGCTTTCATGGCCAGAATCACTGGGTTGCTGTGAGTTTTCCAGGCTGTATGGCCATGTTCCAGAAGCATTCTCTCCTGACGTTTCTCCCACATATATGGCAGGCATCATCAGAGGTGAGGTTTGTTGGAAACAAGGCAAGTGAGGTTTATATATCTGAGGAATGTCCAAAGTAGAAGAAAAAACTCTTGTCTGTTTGAAGCAAGTGTGAATGCTGCAATTGACAACCTTGATTATCATTGAAAAGCCTTCCAGCTTCAAGGCCTGGCTGGTTGTTGCTTGGGCAAATACTTTGTTTGGGAGGTGATTAGCTGGCCCTAGCTTCCAGTTTTAAAAAAACTCTAAAATCAGACCAGTAAAGAAAGAACAACACTCAAAAACGGGAATTCCAGACATGAAACAATCAGGGCCAGCTAATTACCTCCCAACAAAGGATTTCCCCAGGCATGAAGCAGCCAAGCCTTGAAGCTGCAAGGCTATTCCATACTAATCAAGGTGATCAATTGCAGCATTCACACTTGGCTCAAGCAGACAAGAGTTCTTTCTCCCACCCTGGATATTTCACAGATATATAAACCTCACTTGCCTAGTGTCCAACAGACCTCACAACTTCTGAGTATGCCTGCCATAGATATGGGCGAAACGTCAGGAGAGAATGCTACTGGAACATGGCCTACAGCCCGGAAAACTCACAGCAACTCAGGCCTCGCTTTGTTTTCTCCTAACCTTGTTGCCATTTCCTCTTTGGCTGAAAACCTTAAACAGGTAGTTATCTACCTTGAATCGCACAGTCTCTCTGTATTATTTTTGCTTCTATTAGGAAGGAAGTGGGGCAGATTGGTTATCTCAACTTGGGAGGAAAACTTCCTTTTACCAATCGTTTGCTTCCCTCCTCTCTTACTGACATTACATCATGGAAGCATTTCTCTCTCTGAGGGCGGGGGGTGTTAATTTTAAAATCCTCTATTTTAAATAACATGTTTACATATTTGCTGCATGCTTCAGTTCCCATTTGGTTTTGTGATAATTGAGTTGCATTTTGTATCGGTGGTGTACAATCTGGTTTGTACAGTAATAGTGGCCCTGAACCATTTCCATGGTTGCCGTGTTCTCGTGTAGCAGAACTTCACTAAACATGAAGACAGTGTTGGAAAATAGAATAATTTGGATACAATTGCTTACATTTGTAGGCATGCTTAGGGAAAGCACAACTAGAAAATTATTGAGCAAAATATAGGTCTGCCCTCTTGTCCAAGAGAGGTATCGCGAAGAAAGAGCAGGTTGACAGAGTATTTTACTCTGTACGTTGATCGTCATGATCAGAGGCCTGCAGTGTGGGTTTTCTAAGTATTCCTGTACCAAAGTTTTTGAACGCAACTTGAAAAGATAACTATACGGCTAAGCTTATCATCTTCCTGAACATCAGATGGACATTAGGTGAAAGGTAAACAATAATTTTATGAAAATGGGCCCAACTGATGGCTTTGTAAACCAAGTGTAAGTAGCATAGCTTATTTAATCAGATGAGTATAATTGTGATTAATGCACATTTGTGTTAATCTAGGTGTTATGAAGACAGTAGAGCTTGAGCAAATACATCTAAATCAATCCCGTGCCTAACCCTTTGAGTTACACTCTTTAGGCCTAGGCACATGCTATAACATGGATGCTTGAGTTCTGTATGTTGTTGGTGCTGTATCTTGGGCCGATCTATTCTTGAGAAGTCCTTTTGGAGTCCCACCATAATGAAACTTCTTCGTAATAAGACAAAGCGAATGGAAGGCAACCTTAAACTATGCTATTTTAACATACAGGGAGAGATATTATCCCTGAAACAAACTATGCTATTACTGCCTTCTAATTCAGTAAAATAGCTATTCAGCTACATTGTATCCAATTTTATTTTTATTTTTGGTTAGAGTATCTTATTTGAGAAAGATATATAACATCAAGGTTGTTCCTTTTGCTTTTTAAATATCACAATTTAAATCCTGATTACAGATACCATATGTATTAAGGAAGTAACATAAATATTCAAGTTGCATTCTCTTTGCCAGTAAATGGCAATGTTGTTTGAAGACACCAATATTTTTATGTGTCCATCTAAGGCTTAAGATGGCTATTCTTCTATTGTAATACGTGTCTCAAGCCTAGACATGTTTTTAACCCTTTCTCTTGTCATGAGAGTTGATTTTATGAACTCATAAGCTATAGCAGCAACCATTTTATTTTTGTAAAAGCACATTGAAATTTCCTTCCCGAATATAAATTTGTTGAAATTTATAATCTTGTTTTCCATGCACTTTTACTTTAAGGGTTAGTTGGGTCCTTGTTTGAATTGATTGAATCTATGCATGTTATAACCATCCTCATTCTGACTAATGTGCGTGTGTGTGCATAGATGCATGTATGGTTATTTATTACCTTCCAGTGAACAAAGGAGAACATGTGGTTAATGAGCAACCACCATTTGTAAAGATGTGAGTGGTAACTATTGGGTATGTGGTATACCATTGCAGATACAACAGTGTTTATATATGTGAGTGGATGAGGAAAGTGGGGATCGTTTGTTTTTAAAATACAAATCCAATTTTAATTTTTACCCTGATGCATGTTTATGTAAATAAAAGCACCTTTTCACCTTTCTATTATGTTGCTTTTGTTTAATTTTATTTCTGATGCAGGATATTCTGTAAAATCATGTAAAATGCACCATACAGCACCATTATTCTTTAAGTCTGCTTTTTTGGGCTGCCTATCTGAGTGGAGTTGTTGACTGTGTGGTCTCTCATGCATAGAATTGCTATAGGTTGAACTCAGCTGATGGCGGGAAGAGAACAAAAGTAGAACTGTATCTGCAAGAGCATTGCACAAGTTGAGTCAACAGTGTGGTCAATTGAGCCATGGGATTTGCTGTTCAACCCCAAGAATAACAAGATCAAACACAGACATTGGATGTAATGAGGGCATTCTTACTGTTGTTTGTTGTTCGTTCAGTTGTTTCCGACTCTTTGTGACCTCATGGACCAGCCCACGCCTGAGCTCCCTGTCGGGCGTTACCACCCTCAGCTCCTTCAAGGTCAAGCCAGTCATTTCAAGGATAGCATCCATCCATCTTGCCCTTGGTCGGCCCCTCTTCCTTTTTCCTTCCTTTTTCCTTCCATTTTCCCCAGCATCATTGTCTTCTCTAAGCTTTCCTTTCTTTTCATGATGTGGCCAAAGTACTTCATCTTTGCCTCTACTATCCTTCCCTCCAATGAGCAATCGGGCTTTATTTCCTGAAGTATGGACTGGTTGGATCTTCTGGCGGTCCAAGGCACTCTTAGAATTCTTATTGTTACGTACTTGTTTCTTGGTGCTGAGCAAAACAAAGAAGAGAGAAAATGATGTGGGAATGGCTGGGGCAGAAGGTCCAGCCCGGGCCACATTCTCCAGCATCTCAGGTGAAAACACTGTAGCTCCCAAGAGGAATCCCTGAGATTCAGGCTTACTCCTTGGCCCATCACAAACTCAAAGACAGACTGGAGCATCTAAGGCAGTGGTTCTCACTCCGCTCCATAGAGGAAGACTCAATGGTCTACTGAGCGACAAGAGGCTTTGTCCCTGTAGTACAGGATACTGGACTCTATCCCCCATATTCTTCTGCCCTGCCCACTCTACCAGGAACCAAGATCTAACTTGTTACTACAAGTTATAGATTCTATGAAAAACCATACAGACACAGACAAAGTAATTATGCTTTTAAACTTCCAAGATTTTAACTGTTGCCTCTCAGCAAGGGTCCTGAATGAAGTCTGTACACTGAACATGTAACAAATGTGACATTCCCTATTCTGTAATCTATACTGTATTTTATACTGTTTTGTTATATATGCCAATAAAAGCTTATTGGATTGGACTTCAAGAAATCCCAGCCAGGTTACCAGCTGCTAGTAATTATGGGAGTTGAAATTGAAAACACTTGGAGGGTCAAAGTTTGCCCATGCCTGGTTAAGCCTTCAAGCTACACAGACCAGCAGTATTTCAATCATTTTTAATTTAGAAATGGGGAAATAAAGTGTTTTTTAATAAATCGCATCAAAGCAATAACTACTGTTTATTATCTTGAAACTATTGTACCAGTTCTCCGAACTCCCAAGTTTGCAGGTATATGTTTGGTTTGGTCATTTTGTTTATCTATTGTGACTGCTTTGGGACCTGCTTTTTGATTAGAGTAATCAGAGTAGATGGGAAGTTCAGATTTCAAGCCACAATGCCAATGAGTACAATAGGGTGCTCAGTGGAGTTAAGAAAATCAAATCAATGTTAAGTGATCTGGAGCAAATTAATATCCTTTTGCAGTTGTAT